GTAGCTAGGGGAATTCGGTGCTGTTATCCGTACCTTACTTGCAGTACTTGTCAAAATAAAAAAGTTGTGAGAAGAACGGAGCGGTCTGTACGCGCTCCGTACGGATACTCGCAGCCCGTACGGAGTATTTTAGTGCCTGATCTAGGTACTCATGTCGCGACCCCGTTGACCGCCGGTGGCGTCTAACAACCACCAATTGGGTCGTTCTCTTTCCAAGCACGGACAAAACAAAACGCCTTGAAATACTATGCCGCTTGGGCATGGTGGCTTTGTTGATCACTCAAAAGCACGTTTTCCTCTGGCCCGCGCTGGATCTTGGCAGTGTGACCACATGATGTCTATCACTCAACCAGCTCCAGGCTGGCAAATGTCGGTGAAAATGGAAATGCCAGGCAGAACTGGAGCAAAGACAATTGGCGAGCACCTACCGGGACCTACTATTCTTGGCTTGTCGCAACTGCAAATGTCCGGCGAGACCAGAGCACGCTCGCGCGCATTCGATACCAATTGCATTTTGACAAAGCGCGCTGTTGGGTACTCTCAGTCAAGTCAAAAACGCACAGACAAAATAAAAACCTGCCGTCTGCTATTTTTGGAGCCGCATATTGTAGCCCTACAAGGCACCTTGGACGTTGCTTCCGAGAACCGCAGGCTGCAGCAAGACGTCAAAGTCAGCCAAGCAACCTGCAAGCAAGCACTGAATGCATACACATACTACTGCAGTAGAGGTGCTCGTGAGTTGTGAAAGGACATGGACAACCTTAGCCCTGATCTGGGGCACAGCGACTGGGGAGCAGGGAAGCTACAAGCCCCGCCACGTCAGATTTAGTGTCAAGGTTGTCTAACACCACACCCCCTTGACCAAAGCACTGGAAACGGGACCATTTATCAATTCCGGAGATCCGAGAAACGGTCGCAGGTACTACCCACAGACAATAGTGCCCACCACTTGACAACGAAACAACTGGAAGCAGTGGCAGATGTGGGCAGGACTGACTCTATGTGGTTAACCCCACAAGTGTTAGCTCGAGAACGTACGTCTCTGTGACTGCTACTCGTCTTCAGGATCAAGCAACGAGGTACAACCGACCTTGTGGCGCGAGAGTTTCCTTGCATGCGACGTGGGAGCCTACAGGTAGGTGTTCTAGCCACCGAAAGAGATGGCCAGAGCTGCGTCGCACTCGGAATAACTCAAATGATAGCAAAGAGCAAGGGTGTCGGCATGGCTTATACGCGCAACTTAAGAGAGATTCATTCGAAGCGTATTTGTGGTACGTTCTGGGCTTGGCTTCGCTCTGTACCCCGTGCGTCCGGATTTCCTTCAATACAATGTGGAAATGCTGACAGGAAATTTATTACTTACCTTAATGAAAACTTGGCCATGTCTCTCAGCGTACCTACTTTCCGCACTGAACGCTGCTGTTCTGGACGGGGTTCCGCGGACTAGGGATGTTTGATGGCTTGAACTTTATTATTCACCCGCAATGAGAAGTTTGTTGCGCCGGCGCCGACAATGTGGTGGATGGACTGTCCTTGCGACAACACTATCATCATGGTGACGAAGGGTATCTGTCATTAAATGACCCAGTAATTGATTCCTGGAGCTCTTCAGTCAGTGCCCGTATAATTACTTGATTAACTTCTAAACGTGCGCATAGCCGTGTCCTCGGGGCTCAGCTCGAAATGCCTACCAGTTAAATGACCTCAGCTGGCAGAAAGAACCGTCATTAGACTACAGAGTACAGGCCACTCTTATTGTCCGAATGCGTGTTCTCCGGGCCGCTCCTGCCCCTGCCCAACGGGAAGCATATGCCCCGTGGGCGGCAGCAGCAACACAGAAGAGCTACACAACTCCTGGTAATGATTATTTCACACCCACCACAATTGATGATGGCCATGCCGCATGCGAGCACTTGACAGGTGGTGACATCATCGTACCCAGGCTCGGGGTGCTAGAGCAGCAGTCGATTGAATGCACAAGCACCGGGAGCACACTGCTGAGAAACGAAACGTTTTTTGGACAAGATAGTGATGCTCGTGTGCACCGATGATCGCAATAAATAATCTGACAAGTCCTATCAAGTACTACGGATACGTGCACCACAATAGTCCCTTCGCGAGGGCCAATGTGGGGTCGAGTACTTCGGCCAAGTCGACGTAGGACGTACGTACTACGTCGTACGTATTGTCCGACACGCGGCGAGTATGCGCCTACCAGCCGGCCCTCGAAATGTCAGACGTGCACCAGCTCCACTCCTGGTAGAATCGAGTAGTACGGAGTACTGCAATTAGGCAGTACGTAAATGTACGGAGAACGTAGTGTGCCTTATCGATTTAATTACCAACTAATTAGTTGTACGTATAGTACTGAAGCATCTGTCCTGTTTATTGTCTACGAGTCTAGGCAAGTGCCACCTTGGAGATTGTCGCCTTTTGCGATCCGTGTTGAGTAGATGTCGAACTGGATAGAGCGGCAAAGATAGTATTGGACTCATGGCAGCCCTATTAATAAACGCCAAGGCCTATGTTGAACTGATACGAGAAATCTCGCGCAGGGTGGTATGTACAATACGTACGCCGCGAGACGAAATCGTCTCGATCGTAGCCGGCTAATAGTCAGGTACTTGCGAAGTACGCCAAGGAACAAAAACGGCCGCCCTTCTCGACCCCCGCGTCGAGACTACGCAGCGTCGTACCCATACGTACACGTAGTCGTAGAAAGCGTAGCGACGTAAGGCGGTCAAGGAGTACACTCCATTCTGGTGATCCAAACGTTGCTCACGTTGACGACCTCACTTTTATCTTCAGACCCCAGAACAGGCTCTCCAAGTTGGACAATCTATCAGACACACAATAGCAGCCTCAGCCATAAGTAAATGATGTATGTACCTATTGAAACCGGGGTTCCGGTCGAGCCTAAACAACACAACGCACGGCCGCAAACCGCATAGCGCAAACAGTAAGGTATGATAAACTTCGGCAGCCCAAGCAGGGAAGAAGAATAAACTTTACCAGTCCAGTCTCCCTGCCACCAAGGCGACTGGAGTTGCTTCTGCCTCAGGCGCTCCGAATCTCAGTACTGACCCGTGGCCTTCCAGCCTTGTTGATTGCAATTTGCGCAGTGCTGTCACAGGAGCGATCGGCATCTGGTCAGTTTGAGTCGGCCCCTTGATGAGCACTCGCGCGGGTGGCCGATTTGCTGGTCCCACTAGCATTGCAATCAGAAACCCTGGCTCGCCCTTCCATGCGTTGTCAATCTCGCGGACTGAGTCACCCAGCTTTTTTCCCCTGGACAGGAACTCTAAACACACACCCCTCTGCTCCAGCAGGCGTAACCCACTTGTACTGCTGGGAGACCCCAGCTTGTTCTGCAGTTGCCCGTCCATGCCTTGAGAGCAGACTCGTCGCTGACATCGGTGGACTTGGCACTGGCAGCGCCTTCCCAGCTTCATTTCGAGCTCTGTCAGCGCCGCTCAGCTCAAGGCACCCCTTGGGACTGGAGGAGAAAAAAAAAAAAGTCGGCCTGGCGCCCAACGGCACTAGGTACAAGAGCTCAGGTACTTTTAGCACACACGCCCACCCATCACCACCACCCACCATTTCACCTCCAGTCCCCTCGACCTCAAACCCCTTCGCCCAGAGACATCTACTATTCGCCCGCTGTTACTTTGTCTTTTGCTCTCTCTCCCGACGACATTCCTCTTCTCTACCGACGGTACACATTGTCATCGACCAAGCCGCGCCTGACGCTGTTTGTTGCCTTTACGCTGGCCCTCACAATTTCCTCCCACCCTGCCGCCAAACCGAAACTCCATCCTCACTTTGAAGACCTACAAGCCGAACGTCCACTTTTGCGCGCAACGACAGTCCTTGATAGTCACACAATTACCGAGTTTACACAAGTCACCAAGCCGAACGAGCGATATTTGAACCATCATTGGTCACCTGCAGCTTCTTCGCAACTATCCTGTCCGTGCCTTCAAACCTGACCACGCCATTGCTGTGTACGCAGTAGAACGTACATTAGCAGGCACCGGCAGCAACACTCTCCCGAGGTCCAGAGAATTCGAACAATCCCATATCGCAGTTCAGTCAGCTACCTGCTTGGCTACAACACACAAACTACGCTCTCTGCTTCGCCCTCGACCGTACCCCAGCTTTGCCTCATCCCGGGCACGCAATACCGTATACAGCGACTTGCATACCTCTCCACTGCCTGCTGCCACCGCACCAGCATCTGTGACCGCTACAATATTCGGCGAGCTCCCAAATCAGCAGCTTGCAACCCACGCCAGATCTGCACATCCCGCTCACTGCGCAGCTTGAGTATCTCGCGTGCGGCCCGCTCGACAACGTTTCTCCTGCAGATAACCAACCACTTGCATCCAGGACTACACCCCTCCAGATTTTGGTTGATTTTGTGCCTCTTTGCTCGCCTGACTTCTGGCACGCACCCCTCCATCCGCATTGTTGTTGCGCGAAAGCATCATTCGTTGAGGGAAGACTCGGCACATCCACCACAACCCTGGTACAACCTCGTAACCCCTGTCTCTGGAGGTTGTCTGCCTGTTTATCTCGCTCATCAGCGACGGCCACGTTTATGGTCACCTGCGCCGGTCACTGAGCCTCTCCTTCGTCCAGTCCCCCCCCCCCCCGCACGCACAGGCACAGGCTCAACCACCACTAGAGCGGCCCGTCCCATCATGTATGCTTTCAGTTGCCGAGACTCATAAAGGCCGACCCAGCTCATACCGGTGTCCTGCGTTCTCTGCTCGCTCACTGCGACCAACCGATCAGCCTTCAACATGTCTGGCAACTCGAGTCGGCCTCCTTCACAGCAAACATTGGAGCACGCCATGTTCATGTCACATAGCCATACCAGACTTCTTAGACCAAGCACAGCCCAGACAAGTCTTGAAACGCAGGCGTCAAATTCAATACCTACTTCGGCAACCAGCGGGTCTTCTATTGCCTCAAATTCCCAGCACGGCTCGCCCGTCATGTCGCCAGACACAGCCATCATGACGACAAATTCATCCATACAAGGCTCGCCGGAGCCCATGCGAGCCCTCGACGATGATATCTGCCCATCCAACTTTCAACTACCGGAATCAATTGTGTCTCGCCGAGTCAGCTCCAGTTCGCTCAGACAGAGCCTCATGAACAATGCCAGCACCATTCCCGAAACTCCAGAGGTTACTGCATTACCCAACCCTCCCCACCCAAAAACGAGCCTCATGCGTCGCATTTCGAGCCGGGCGTCGCGTGGACTGGCTCCGAAAAGACGGCCCTCCTCAGCCGCACCCACGAGCCGTGACACAAGTGTTGGCCCATTGCTTCGCCGGCGAAGCGACAGCAACACCACCGCACCCCCCGACTTTCCCCCTATGGGCTTTGACTCGGAGTCAGACTACGATGAAGACATTCGCCACTTCAGGTCAATTACCAGACGAGATACCTCCGTGCGCAGTACTTCCGTTGGGAGTCCGGCTGAGTCGATCATGGAAGAGTTATCCGGCAGCAGCATGGCTGGCCCGACTGTGCCCTATACTCTCCAATGCGGAACACCAGTCTGCAAGTTCTCTAGCAAGAAGGAGAAGAGACGGAAATATGCATCCCTTGTCTACGACCACGATTCTAGCAAGCTCACATGGGACAAGAAACGGCCCAACAAGTTCATTCACTTGGATGATATTCAGGCTGTACGCAGCGGATCCGATGTGCAACAGGATGCCAACGACTTACACATCACGGACATTTCGAGATTATTTGCCATCAAGTACAGTATAGCCGGCCGGGCAGAGAAGCTGGTTTATTTCCAAACCGATCGGCCTGACCTCTGCCAGACCTGGGTGAAATTTTTGGATGACATGCTCAACCACCGACAGGAGCTCATGTCCTCGCTCATGTCCTTCACACCTGAAGCCATAAAACAGTACTGGAAGTCTGAAATGGCGCGACAATTTGGCGATCCACCACGATCGGCGGGAGCAGAAGAGTTGGACATGGCCGGTGTGAAGCGTGTGTGTCAAATGCTGCATATCAACAGTTCAGAGTCCACACTCAAGTCCGCCTTCTTCCAATCCGATATTCGAGGGCAAGAAAGACTGAACTACAAAGAATTCATGGCATTCGTTCGTCACTTGAATGTGCGCCCCGAGATTGGTCGTATCATGCGATCCTTCGCTGCTCAGCCCGAAGAGGGGTTGACTTTGGAAGAGTTCCTTGTCTTCCTTCGCAATGAACAGGGAGAAGATATTGTCACACGGCGTCAGCCGTGGGAGAAAGAGTTCTACCGCCTCGTCAGGGCAGCTCGTACGAGCGCGGATGACATCGGCAAGGGACAGAGCGACAACAGCCTCATAATGAACCAGGCCGCCTTCACAGGATATCTCACAGCGAGGCACAACGGCCCTCTCGTCGAGGAGCCTCAGCAATACAGCTTGGACCGGCCCATGAACGAATACTTCATTTCAAGCTCACACAACACCTACTTGACCGGTCGTCAAATCGCGGGCATGTCCAGTGTGGAACCCTACATCGAGGCCTTGATCAGCGGATGCCGTTGCGTGGAGATCGACTGCTGGGATGGTCCGTATGGGCAACCTATCGTCACCCATGGTAGGACCTATACATCGGCCATCAGTCTGAAAGAAACCCTGGTTACCATCAACAAATACGCCTTTGTCAAGACCCTGTTCCCACTCTGGATCTCCCTGGAGGTTCGTTGTAAGGAGGAGCAACAGCGCGTGATGCCTACACTCATGCGCGAAGTCTTTGGCGCCCGCCTGGTCGAGGAAACCATCGATGGCAACTACTCAGTGCTACCATCGCCCTCGCAGCTATTGGAGCGTATCCTCATCAAGGTTAAGAAGGCAAAGGAACTCCCAGGCGCTGCGAATGGAGGACGACGTCGCGGAAACAGCTTAACCTCACCCATGATTAGGCCCACCATCCCCGATGCCGCGCTGATGCCTACGTCTCAATCGCTTCCACAGAGCCCGATGCTAACACCCATGTTGGCATCACGCAGGATTCCGAGCAAGAATCGCGTCAACACCATTGCGGAGGGCAGAGTTTCCGACATGGTGGGTGATGAGGGCGCCGACATTGAAAGTGGTAGTGACGCTGGCTCCTATGAGTCCGAAAACGCCACCACTGTCAAGGCTTTGGGCGATCTCGGGGTCTACTGCGCTGGTGTGAAGTTCAACGGGTTCGACTCCCCGGGAGCGAAGGAATTCAACCACATCTTCTCCTTCCAAGAAGGCACTCTTGCCAAGAATATCCGCTCCAAGGAGATGAAGATGGCATTGGACATCCACAACATGCGGTACCTGATGAGAGTCTATCCATCCCCATCTCGTGTCTTGTCCAGCAACTTTGACCCGCTCTGGGCCTGGCGTCGCGGTGTGCAGATGGCTGCCCTGAACTGGCAGACAAACGATGTCGCTCTTCAACTCAATCGCGCCATGTTCGAAGGAGGGACCGACTCTTCTGGCTACGTTCTCAAGCCTGCCAAGCTACGCAATATCCAGGTGATACCGTACAATGAGGACATTGCTGGAGGCAAGAAAGAGCGATCTATCGTGTCGTGCAGTATTGACGTGCTATCTGCGCAGCAGTTGATGCGCCCCGCATCACTACCTGCCAACCGAGAGATGCACCCGTATGTCGAGGTTGAGGTCTTCAACGGCCATGGCAGCAGTGAAGGCGAGGGACCTGAGCAAGAAGACGCCATCGCCAGCCGGAATCCCGAAAGGCAGCAGACTGACATTGTCTACGGCAATGGCTTCAATCCGTTCTTTCGCAGCGCCCCGATGACTTGGACACTGAAGACCAAGCACCCGGAACTTGTTTTCGTCAAGTTTACCGTCAAGTTGTCGCCGAATGGCGAGACTTACAACTCGAATACCAACGGCAAAGATGCCATGGGGATCGCCTCGTGGACGGCTAAGCTTCAGAACCTGAGGCCGGGCTACCGTACGCTTCCGCTCGAGAACGACAAGGGCAAGCAGTACCTCTTCTCCTCGTTGTTTTGCAAAATTCACATCGATCCCATCGAGAAGGCCATTGTGGACGTGCCTGCTGACAAGCACGAGAGAAGCAAGCTGAAGAGCCTCGGAACCAAGGTCTTTGGGCGAATGGCTGCGAGCCCTCGTGCCACAATGGACAAGGGCAGTGTGGAGAAGAAGAGTTCCGAGAGTGCGCAGTAGGAACGACATCTCTGCTCAGCGCATCGCCTACCACCTCGGATGTCAAGGGCTCATGGTCACGACACATCCCCAGCCCTTCGAGACACATCTCATCTTTTCAGTGGCTTGGTTTCGCTACCATCGCGGTCCCGGCGACCGAGCAGCGAAGACGGTACGACTTGACCAGTCACTGGTGTACTTGTCACTACCTTTGCGTGATTTTCTTTTTGCCTTATGAAGGCGACAGGCTGCTGTCGTTATCTCTTTGTTTCATTTGTTGGCGCTTGACTTCGCGCGAGAATACCCTTCGTTCTGGTCGAGAAACGACGAGCGTGGTTTTTGCAATTTTGGGAAATACTTCGACATGGACAGGTTCCTACACAGCATAGCAACGGAACTCGAATTGGGGGGCTTTTCTTTTTCCTCGTTTATCTATAGAAGCATCGTGTTTACTCCATCATGTGGCTGCATACTGGAAATCAGGAGGTCTGATGCAATACAATATCCCATGTGGCTCACGCCGCGAAGACTGCATTCCTCCGAGCTGGGCCTTGGATGGCAGAGGGCACGGTTGGATACTGCCCTTAATGATTGACGACAATACAAGAACAATAATCACAATTGAGCTGTTGACTCGATCCCGTCTCGTGACTCTGTCATGTCCCGTGCCTCGACTTGGCCATGTTGAGACAGAAGCAAATGCGGTCTGATGCGTCATCCAAGAAAATGACGTACCTTCTGCTACTGTTTATCACACGCGCGAGTGCATCTGCCCCGGACCACACTCCAACAAGAGCCAGCGCGTAGCGGCAGATGCCAGAGAGCGGATGAGAAGGGAGGACGGCATGCTAGACTGCTGATCCGGCCCTTGAAGCGGTGGAGGAGAAGGGGGGTGGAGACAGCTCAATTTTACCGTGCAGTGGATTGTGGGGAGGAGACGATCGCGCAGTCTTGGACACACTGCGAGGCAGAATCATCCGTCTAGGTAGAAAGACCTGTGTTCCAGTGAATGCTATATGAAAGACATCAGTCATATAATTACATCTATCTCTACCATTATGCCAACCTGGAAAGAAAACAGAACGCCTTAAGGCCCGGCTTCGACCCATGCCAGAAGATTGAACGAAAAGAGGCGCGCTGTTGAAATATATGTGTGTAGTAGCAAAGCATCCCACACTGACATTGCGCTTGGCCATCAGTCTACCCCGTCATCCAGATAGCGCGGACTGGATGAGCCTGTGCCTCGCCCGCTGCTGTGACTGTGCTGCTTGCGCAACATGCCGCTCGCGCCGCCACGGCCCCAGCCACCGTTAGTGACCACGTTCATTGCGCGGCGCTCGGCTTCGTCCCTGTCCAGGCTTTCGACAAACTGTTCGTCTTCCCTGTCAATCTCGTCGAGCTCGTCCTCGACGGACCGTCCACGCGGACTGAGTCGTCGGAGCGGTACGTCTTCGGACTGTGGCCCATCTGCGTACAGGTTCGGATCGCGCCCCAAAATGCGGTCGGCCTTGCTGGGCGTGCGTCGGAGTCCGTCGCGGGGCGAGGGGCTGCTGTGCCTGTCCTCGGAGAAGTGCCTTCCTGCACCAGAGGCGTGGACACGGGTGATCACGGGCGGTTCCTCGACGGCTAGGCCAAAGTCACCGCCCCATCCAGCACTGACCTCGCGGGCGCGTTGCTGTTCGCGCTCGGCGCGAAGACGTTCTCGTGCCTCCAGCCAACGAGGGCTAGGCTCCCAAGCCCAGCCGTCACCGGTGGTATTACAAACGGGGACCGGCCACAGCCATGGGTCGGGCCCGAAAAGGTGCTGTAGGTTACGTCTCCAACCGAGATCAAATGCATTCGGTAACTTGGAAGAATCTTGCTCGTCCAGGTACTCGTCGTAGCGTTTCCTCGATTGCTCCGCCTCCCTCTCGGCGTAACTCATGTGCACAGGCCGAGCGCCATCTAGGTTCGAACCGGTACGGGGCAGCTCCATCGTGCGGCGCTCCTCGCCCTCCTCGGGCCTCGTCACGCCAGGGACGGCGTTGGCGTGGAAGTCCACAATCTGCTGTGCCGCGAGAGGGACGTGGTTGGCAGGATCGTGGGCCTGGTGAAAGGTCTTGCGCAAGGGCGACAAGTAGCGCGTCTTCTCAAGACATTCAATGGTCGTCTGCCCGCGCGAGGCCAGGTGGATGTGCCAAGCGGTAAAGGCCCCGACGACGAGCGCAATGATGCCGCTCATGACGGCCAGCATGATAAAGTTGACGGGCAACAGGGTGTCCATGTAGCGAGTGTTTTTGAGGATCTCCACCCACGTCCACCATCCGCTAACAGCGAAGCAGTAGAGGCAGAACACCGTCGTGTAGATGAGGAACAGCAGAAAGGCCTTGTGGTTCTTCAAGCCGATGCACGTCGCCAGCCAGGGGCAGTGATGGTCCATCTTGAGCACGCAGCGTCGGCACGTCGAGCAGTGATGCGCGCGGTCGGGCTTGCGGGCCTGGCACTTCTTGCAGAAGCGGTATTCGCCATTCGACTTGACGGTGAAGGAGGTCGCATTGTTCTGGTTGCTTTGGTTCATGGGCAGGACGCTGTAGCCGTCGTCGTTGGTCGTCGAGCCGGGATTCGTAAAGACGGCGGTGGTGTAGGACCAGTTGAGCATAGCCCATAGGAGAACGCCAACAATGGACGACGTAGTACCTGCAATGTGTCAGGGTGGATGGAAATTTGAAGATGGGGATGCGATGGGCCATGTTACCTATCCAAGCACTCCTAGTTTCTGAAGCACCTATCTGTACGATGACCCATGCTGCCCAACTTGTCAACCCGTAGACAAACCCCAAAGGCATGTACTTGACAGTGGTGCAACATGCTCGCTCGACTCTCCGGGCCCAGCGGCGAACCATCATGTTGTGAGGCTATACCGGCAGCGTGAGCATGACCTTGGCGACGATTCGGTCGTGAGGTGTTCCGTAGTACTGTACGGTCAGGCCGAAAAGAACGAACGTTTCGTGGTCGATCCGAGATGTCCACGCAGTCGGAATGAGAGCACGCGCCGAACCCTGATCCCGTAAAAGTCCAAAGAACCAGAGCCTGGAGCCTGGCCATTCACTCTGATTGTTGGGTGGTACGTATCCCAAAGTGGCTTAGGTCAAGACTCCCCTCATCAGGGGCCGTCGGCGACTCGGCGGACCAGCGCCAAGTGTCAGCTCGACGGGACTTTTCTACTGGTCAGTGTCGTGGAACGCGACATAGATATGGGGCTCAGGGGGTCCGTGTCCTCCTGTCCTGTCACTGCTTTATTAAAACTCCGTGTCAATATCACGAAGTAATTAAAACACACATATGTTCTGTCGGTATTCGTGATGAATGCGATTGAACAAGTCGATGAATCTCCAACGCATAGGATAGAATCAGTATGAGCCGAATCGTTCGACGCCAGAGTATGAATCTTCTTCCGCAAGCGCAGTCTCCCTGCGTGCTCGAGTCATAACAGAAACTGGGAGAGTGTGAGCGGCACGATGCACGATAGAAAGCGGCAGTGGCGCGGCCTGTCATAAGGCCTCTATAATAACCCTCCAACTTCTCGCCTCGTAGTCTCTATCGTTACATTGGGACTTCCGGATACTCGTAGCTTCTCTCCTGCTCCCCAAATCTCGGAACATCGACAGTATATGTGTTTCGTCTCGCATGGTCGGTGTCATGTTGTGCGTGGGCCTCAAGGTGGCCTTGGTCATTCTCCTCTTCGTCCGCCTCGTTCGCTTCGTCCTCATTATCGGTGTTCCCAGGCAAGTATCCCATAAAGTCGAAAGTACCGTTCGCAGCTTCGTCTTCGTAATCTGCATCATCATCCTCTTCTTCATCCACGTCCATGTTCAGGTCTGCTTCTGCTTCGTCGTCGTCTTCATCGGGTTCTCCAAGCTCCGTGTACGCTCCTGGCGCCGTCGTCCCGCCCCCCGTATCAGAGTCATGGGGTTTCTGGGAGACCTTGACCTTGGTCGAATAGCCAGCATGCCTGGACTTCTTGTTCGAGGTTGACACTGAGCCCCTCAGCTCCACGAGCTCGTCGTGGGTCAGGTCTAGATGGGGCAACGGAATCGAAGCAGTTCCCTGCACTGCTCTCGTAGGCGTAGCGTCGCCCGTGTCCAACGTTGCCGCGAAGTGTTGCCTGGTCAATGTGCGGTCGAAGCGGATTGCTATCAACCTTGTCTTCATGATGGCTTTGACTTTTGCCCAGGCGCCCCCCTGGTAGAAGCCACTGTCTTCATCCCGAGGCTCACGAATGGGAGCGTGATCCAGCACCTCCCTGATAATGGGGTCAGTGATGTCGCAGACCTGCCAGACCTTGCCATCCAAGTGGTACGTCTCTCCGTCAAATATGTGGCTTTTGGAAAGATCGGGCTTGAAGGTATTGTTTGTGGCACCTTGCTTCCCCCTGGTGGAATACCACGCCTCATGATGATACACCTGCTTGTGCTGGGGCAAGAGTTTGAACATGACAGTTTGGTATTCTCTGTACTTCGGGTCGGTCCTCGGATCTATGCCATAAGGCACAACGCTGTCCCTCCAGGGACCACCCTTGAACTGATAGGCGACGTAGTTGAGGTAGACCTTGAGCTCGTTCCAGCCTCGCAGTTTGTCCCCGAGGTGGTTCATCAGCGATCTACGAGTCCAGATAGCTCGCTCCGCAAAGGCTGCTTCTAGCTCGGCTAGAACCATGACCGTCCTAGCATCCGTCATGTCAGGAGGGTGACGGGGGCCTGTGGGAGCCGGCGCCTCAGCGCCGATGAAATGACCAATGTGCTTGACAGCCGTCGCGTTGAATGTCTGTCCATCCTCCGTCATGCGTACGTACGGGTTCTGCGCGTAGAAATAGTTGAAAGGGATGCCCAAGTGCGTGAAGCTCGGTGGCGGAAGAACGTCAACGTTGGGAGGTTGATCAGCGCCGGGCTTGAATTCGAACTTCTTCATGTCCTCGACTGCACAAATCAGAAAGCCAAGCAGAAAAAAAAAGATTAGAAGGATGCAACTCACCGTCTCCCGGATACACTTGTTCAACGTATCGCCTGGCGAAATCAGACCGCTTCGCAACGTTCCACTGGAAGTCCGCTAGGCTTCTGAACCGATGAGCATGCTTCACCATCCCCACTGCCTCGATGCTGTAGCTTTCGAGGTTGTCAACCAGTTTGCGCCTCAGTACGTTGGGTTCGTCTAGGCGCGCTTTCGAACAGACTTCCTCATTCCCTGCGGTTTCCGATTCGATTGTTTGGCCTTCCCAAGGCCCATCGGACCCTCTCTTCCTTTTCCTGCCCGTTCGCCTGGGGACCCTGAGTTTGAGGACAACATTATGGGTCCTGGCATTATGTGACATGACAGGTCGGCAGAGGGCGCTCTCTGGATTCAGGTACAGAGGCACGGAGTGTGTCTGTGAATCTAGCAGCTGGTCTACAGTCAGTGGGTCAAGGTAGTCAAGCAAGCAGGGCCTCACATTAGACAAGTCTGGTCGTCGCCCAAACGCCTGGATAGCACGGTCGACATTCTGAACATTCGCCGGTAATTCGACCGCCGCCAGGTTCCGTCGCGGAATCACGAAACGTGGCGCTCCAAAATTGGCATCTTCATACTCGTCCTCGGCCACTTCGTCGTCATTCTGTGGTGAGCTATGATTGCTTCTTCGGCGATCGATATCCATCCTGCGTTGGCCTCGATGGGCGGATGTACTTGATTGGAACGCCGAAGAATTGGATCTTTGAATCCACATTCGCAATGCTCCGCGACAATGATACCAGGTACATGAAACTCGGTGATGTAGTCGTTTCGTAGTACAAAGTGATGCAAGGTTTGCCAAGCACGCGGATGAGGGCCTGCGCAGTGTGCATGATGATACTGTGCGGGGTCCTATTTGCGTACCCTATGTCGAGGCGATCTAGACGACAAAGTTGAAGAACGACGCGTCCCAAGCACAGACGATTGGCTACGACCACATCATACTTGAAGTTCAATAAGAACTGGATTGCTTTAATCACAATTAGCTCCCAACTGTTACTAAGTAGGCCTTACTCCAAGAGACAGCCTTAGCTTGTTGCAAGGTCAACCATCTTGTCTAGGGAAATCCGGTCATCGCGGTTCACTCGACTTCCCTGGCTGATAAAGACGAACATCACCGACGAGTGGAATGAAAATCGAAAGTATTTGCCATCACGGGAGACGTCCCTTGGCAGTATTGTCTTTACTCCCAGACAATCTTCACGAATTGGGCTACGTACATAGGTATCATGAGTGACCAGACGCAGGAACACGGAAATTCTTCAGGGGCCAGGCACAGTCTGGCAAACTGTGTGTTTATGATGGTGCTATGACGGAGCTTCCAAAGTTGCACCCGCGACGTGCCGTCTGCAACATAGCGCTCGACATAGCATTTCCACTTTGATTCGAGAGCCACGGTGAGCCCATGCTCCCAACAGTATGCGGTAGTGTAAATTATTTATGAAAGATAATACTATGCCTTCAGTGCCGTCGTGGACACGGCGGAATGCATAGTAATAATGCGTGCACCTAGGTCCCTTAGTGCGCCTTGGCTGGGGTGCTACAGTGCCACCAATCGGACCAGTGCAGTGCTGCAATCGTCGCTCGAACCACTGTAATAATGCCGGGTCAGTCAATCAGCCTTCGCCTGATACGGCACGTTGGATCTCCTCTCCGGTCCTGCCACCTCGAGGCTTGTGAGCAGCTCCAGTCCTGGTCCTGTTTCGTTTCGCAACTGGAGCCGCACTGTATGCTTCACGACTAGCTCGCGACCGAACACTGAGTGACCTTTTGGTATCTTCGCCCTCGATACTGCAAGGCTGCGCTAAAGATTTTGATAATTCCGTTACCTGCGTTCTCAAGCTTAGAAGCTTTCAATACATCAGGTGCAACATCGAGCAGCCGAAGCGCCAGAGACCCGACGCGACCCCTGCCCGCTCCGGTCCTCCACACAATCTCACGGAGCTGTGTGGGCGTTGGAACCCCAGAGCCTGAGCCTGAGCCTGAGCCCGAGCCCGCCTCCCAATCGCCCGCCTAGCCTGGCCACTCACTCACTCGTCGACGTGATCCATCTTGCCAAACTCAGCCCCCTCAACAGCAACGTGCTGTCGACGATTGACTTTCTTTTCGATTCCTGACATCGTAACCGATACTTGCTACCGACCGACGCAACGCGACGACATCTCCAACCCTCTTGCGGGGGCGCTTGCGCTCGCAATTCCACCTCCCGACATCGAATCGGTGCTACACCTCCTCATCCCGCCCCACCGCGCCGCCTCGAATCGTCACCCAGCTTGACCCCCCAAGCGCGCTTCTAGCTGCAGTTACATTCTACAAGGTCGTCAACAGCTGGGATATGCTTCAGTCTGACAAAATGAAGCGCTTCAGTCAACGTGTGGTGAGTCTCCCCATCGCTTGCCAAAGGTACTCCTCGATGTTGACCGTCCGGATAGCTGTCGCGCGGCAAGGACCCTAGCAAATCATCCAAGAAGAACAAGGATTCCAAAGACGGCACGGCGTCCCCATCTTCACGCGACGGCAACAACCAATCCCCGAACCTGACGCCCTCCTCATCGAACTCGAATCTTACCGACGGCCGCAACAAGAACGCGCCCGGAGGCGCCGCGGGCGCTGGAGCGGACCACGCTGCTGGTCAGCCTTCCAACCTGTCTAATGTAGTCCAGTCGGGGAGCGTGTCGGATCGCTTTGGCCCATCCGGCGGTGCCAACAGCCCTAATGGTGGCAGCGCAAACTCGAGGATGCCCCCGTCCGTGGTTGTCAGTCAAACGCCCGGGGTAAGTCTTCTTTCGCAATAGCAGATGGATCAAGAAGAACAGGTATTGACCAAAACAGCACGTCCCTCCGCCAGGTGCCGCAGAGACCATGCCAACAGATCTTGCCCCGCCCAAGGCAGGCCAGAAATCGATGCTGCTACACCGAGGCATCGACAACCGCGATGCGATCCCTGAGGGTCTACGAACGCCGAAACGACAGCATTCGTCTCGCTTCGACATCTCGGCCCATCGCGAACTCGAAAAGCTACCAGGATTTCATGAAGTGCCGCCCAACCGCCGCCAAGAGCTCTTCATGCAAAAGATCGATCAGTGCAATGTCATCTTTGACTTTAACGATGCCAGTGGTGATATGAAGTCGAAAGAGATCAAACGCCTGGCGCTTCACGAGCTTCTCGACTATGTCGCCAACAACAGACAGGTCATTACAGAGCCCATGTACCCTCGAGTCGTGGACATGTTCTCTAAGAACTTGTTCCGACCCATTCCGCCGCCGATTAACCCCCAAGGCGAAGCTTTTGACCCTGAAGAGGACGAGCCTGTGCTCGAAGTCGCTTGGCCGCACATCCAGGTAGTCTATGAGTTCTTCCTGCGGTTCATTGAAAGCCAGGACTTCAACACCAACATTGCGAAAGCCTACATCGACCACAGCTTTGTGTTGCAGCTGCTGGAGCTCTTCGATTCCGAGGATCCCCGCGAACGCGACTTCCTCAAGACGACGCTTCATCGCATATATGGAAAGTTCCTCAATCTGAGGTCCTTTATCCGTCGCTCGATCAACAACGTATTCTTCCAGTTCACGTACGAGACAGAGAGATTCAATGGCATCGCCGAGCTCCTGGAGATCCTCGGCTCCATTATCAACGGTTTTGCACTGCCACTCAAAGAGGAGCACAAGATCTTCCTAACCCGGGTTCTGCTTCCGTTGCACAAGCCCAAGAGTTTGAGCATGTATCACCCGCAACTGGCGTACTGCATCGTCCAGTTCCTGGAGAAAGATGCATCTCTAACCGAAGATGTGAGTGACCGCTCATGCAGACCCGCTTTGTACGTCTCACTTATCTGTCTAGGTCGTTCTGGGTCTTCTGCGCTATTGGCCAAAGGTCAATAGCACCAAGGAAGTTATGTACTTGAACGAAGTCGAGGACATCTTCGAGGTCATGGATCCGGCTGAATTTGCCAAAGTGCAAGAACCGCTTTTCCATCAGCTCGCCAAATCCGTTGCCAGCCCCCACTTCCAAGTCGCTGAGCGTGCTCTGTACTTCTGGAACAATGAGTACTTCTGCAACCTGGTCAGCGATAACGTAGAGATCATTCTCCCGATCATGTTCGCCCCTCTCTACGAAAACTCAAAAGGACACTGGAACAGGTTAGTCCTCAAGCCAATTCTACGCGTGTACGACCGGGCTAACTCGCAATCACAGGACAATCCATGGTATGGTATATAATGCCATGAAACTTTTCATGGAGATCAACCCCCAGTTGTTCGACGACTGCTCGCATGAGTACACAGAGCAGCAGAACAGCGCTGCTGCTCGAGAAGCCATGCGTGAGCGAAAATGGGCCGCTCTGGCCGAGAGGGCTGAGCAACAGAGAGAGATCAACGGCACTGGTCGCGCGCAAGGAGGGAACTTGGCTCGAGTAGAGGAAGTCGACCCTGCAGCCGAAGAGAACCAGAAGCGCCTCGACTCACTCAACCTCCAGGATAATCCTGGCCGCCGCCCAGCGCACGAGCGACAGGGCTCGGCAGCATCAGCCGGGAGCAGATGATAGAGGCGAGACGACGTTGAACACGCAAAGGGAAAAGAAGGAAAGCCGGGGCGGACAAGGACAAGAACACTTGCGCCACTGCCTCTGCATCGTTGGTCATTTTACTGGCGTTTTGAGGAAAGCACACTGTACACCTTGGGTGGATCGTCGCGTATTGTGGAATTGCCAAAGGGACCTGACTTGCCACGGGTGAGATGGCTGGCGATGGCGGGCGGGCATAGACGACTCACGAAAAAGCATATCGTTCGTGCGGCACGTCTTGGGCGGTTTTTGGGCTTGGCTAGGGGGCCTGGGGTCCGTCCCTTTGGCCGATCGTATTATTACTTCTCCCACCTGTTCTTTTGTTGCGCATCACGAGTCTATACGAGGATTCAATAGATAGGTCAAGTCCGCCCTTTGTGCGTGTAATGTGATCTAGACTACTACCATGACAACTTTTTATCCCCGATTAATGCTTCTTAAATGGCCTCTTACTCAAGGTCATCCCCTGCCGCGTCCCCTGCCCCAGGAGCCGCCCCCCCTGCCATAGCCGCGACCCTGCCAATGATGCTGCCAATGGCGTCGGTCTTGATGGTCTCTCTGCCCATAGCCGCCCTGATGGTAGTGGCTTTGCGGGTCATTTTGCAGATGCGGTGGCGGCGGAGGAGGCGGCCCACCGCTCCATGCGCTTGGTGCCATCATATTCTGAGGAATCATCATTCCAGGCATCCAGTCGGCTGGCGTCGCGTTCGGCGAAGGGAGAGGCGGCGGCCACGGTCCATTCCAGCCTGGGGGAAGAGGTGGTGGAGGAAGGTTGCCCGATGGGAGCCCCATTTGATTCAACGGCGGGGGCGGATGGGGCGCTTGTTGATGCTGCTGTGATCTGGGTGGAGGGGGAGGAACCAGTGAACCTAGGCGCGATCTCTCTGGCGAGCGAGAACGTGATCGGGAGGGAGACCGGATGTACGGTCGGCGAAGATAGGGGCTGCGGGATCTACTACGACCCGACGAGCTTCCGCGTCGACCCCTGTTACCTTCATATAAGCTAGATCTCGACCGGCCTCGAGGTGGCGGACTCCTCGAGTCGGGAGAACGTCTGCGACGCTTGAAGGCCGGTGACCCTGACGGACTTCGTGACAGATCACGAGAGTCGCTACTGGACAGTGACCTGGATCGACCTCGATGCTTGCCGTTTATAGCTGTATTCTGCCTTTCCTTCATCTTCTCGCAAAAGGTCCGAGACCAGCCGTAGTATGTTCTGCCACCAATCACATCTCCAGTCACCTCATCAAGGTATACCTGCTCACCAAGTTCGTTGATTTGGTCGTAAGGCTCCTCATCAGCTTTGCGCTCTTTGGAGAATAGGAGCTCGACATCACGGAGAAGGTCCTGAACAGCAGCCACAAGCTTGGGGTCGGCGGGCCCCGGCGCGAGCTGTATTGGTTTGATGAGGTCGGGGAGCATCGGTCGCGTCGAATTCGGTGTAATGTGTGGCAACCATGTTGCCGCTGGCAAATCATACCACGGCGTGGACGGGTCGCCGTGATACGAGGGTAACGTGTAGGGCGCTTCCTTGGAGATTCTTAGCGACGAGGTGACGCTTTGCGCCTCGGCAGGGACTGTGGTCGAAGGGTCACCCGCGGCGGCTTTGCGTAGAGTAGCCAAGTGAGCTGGGCTGACGTAGGCTTTGTTTTCCCATATGTCCAAGAGCAAAGCAAATTTCTTCATATGCTTAGGACAGTCCTTAAACTCCGCGACGGTCGCAACCAGAACTGGCAGATGCGCCTCCAGCGCGTCACCAAAGGAAGCATCCCCCAGGTTGGTCTTGACATGATGCAATACGTCGTTGATAACGTAGAGAAGATGCAGCCTCCGCCTGCGTACACTTGGCTTCTGATTGCTGTCCAAGCTCCTGCTCAGTGCGACGAGATATCTCCCCAACGCGACGCTTCTATTCTTTGACGGCACGATATTGGTTACGATCCAAGCTTTGCAATTCTGTTCGAAAGCCACAAAGGCGAAAAATTTAGTGCAATCTGCGCAAGCGATAGGGGCCGCAAACTACACGTATGCGGTGCAGTTTTGGCGATTGAGGCAAACCTGGACGTTGGGACGCGAGCACTTGGTAACGGCCGAGCCAAGGAGTGTGAAGAGATCGTCAACAGTCGTTCGGGGCAGCGAGGTCGGGTCGGCCTTGAAGAGGGAGGCGGCGAGGGCGGCTTTGGAGATGCCCAGCTCTTGCGCCATGCTGACGTTGGCAGAAGGAAGAGATGAGGGCCAAACGAGGATTATGATCGAGGAAGAACGGGAAGGTAGCCTCAGAGATCCCGCTGCCCAAGTTGGCCGCACTGCTGGACCCCACCTGGAATTCAATTGGTTCACCTAATGAAATAATTAAAGGGACACTGACAAATCCATGATTGAAAGCTTTACTGAAAACTTTACTTGAAATCATATTTCGTATCTAGAGGGAGTGGGAGGGAACTCTATAGTGTTGACTAATTGATTGTATGTACATGAGGGACGACCATTGACGCAACGATAGAGCTTCGGCTGGAGGCCCGGATCGATACTGAATACTTTGAGCTAGATGCAGGAGTCATTGAAATGCTAGCTATAAATGAATAGCCAATCCATCTAGATCCCCAAAGACTGCCGAGAGCTTTGGCAAAGTTAGCAAGCGCGAGGGAGGTAGACAGATTCCTCATCACCTGGCATTGACCGTCACCTTCTGAGGCACTTGCCGGCTTGGGGAAGCTGTAAGAAATGCTAGTATGCTATACATCCAACATTAATACCTGTCGATATGCTCATGCTTCTTTGTCCACTTCCCAAATCCTGACATCATATTGTACAGTCGTCGTCGCAGCTAGGGTCATACTTCGAGACCAAATCAGCAATCAAGAAAACCGATCTCCTTTCGGACTCCTGTACACCCTGTCTGTCTCGTGTTTGCCCTTCTCGCTCACACGTTGCTGTTCTGTCGTGGGCTCATGTCTCGTCGGAGCCGGATCGTTGCTAGCTTCCTGGCTTGGCGACCAACCGTTGTAGTTACCTGCTGAGCCCCGATTGCCTGCTGACCCAGCGGCTTCTCTTTGTTCCAAATCCCGGATCGAATCCTGTTTTCTGCGGTAGGCTTCCAGCTTGGCTTGGCGATCTGCGTTGATCTCCTTCTTCGCGAAGATGTAGGCTCCGACGCCAGCTGTTGGGCACGTTAGCCGCCGTCGTATGCACTCCCGCGAATGAATTATCCCATACCAACGCAAAGAGAGCCCCATCCGAGCCTAAGAAGTAACCAAGTTAGCAAATTCTCGCGGCGGGAAGTTCGAGGGTTGAGCTGTACCAGAAAGATTTGATCTAAGTCGTACGATTAGCATACACCCTCCCAACTGAGCTTGGCAAGAAACGTACTGTGTTCATGATGTCGGCAAAAGAAAAGTCGTCGAATGACGATTCGGGCGACTTGAGCAATTTGGTTGGTTAAATTGGCAGGTAGCCGTAGTTCTTCAATCGAATGCTGACTTTGTAGGTGATGGGAATCGTGCGATTCCGGCGGTGGAGGAAATTCGGTTGGCGGCGCATATCGTCATGGTCCAGTAACTGCGATGGCAGGGTTGTGCGGCGCCGGGTCCAGTCCATGTCTATGTGGCAAGCACGTACCGTGCACCTGCCTGCCAAGGTTGCATTACTGTACATTGCTCGCTGCTGGTAACTGAGTTATTCTACATTTTCAAAGCCAATCTTGGGCGTCTCGTCAACAGCTACTCTGATCTCAACTAATATGCGAGTGGACTGGCCAGGCAATAAGCTCCAGTCTGCAGCAATACCGCTGTCGGCGCAAGCGAAGGAACTTGGTGGGTGTCGGGCTCTAAATCCTCAGGGGACTGGGCGCGCGGATCACTACTAGTAACATCATTTTCGCACTGTGATTCAAACGCTTGCACACGCGAGAATGACAGTGTGAACAAGTGACACTCGATACCTCACTGTGCTTAGCGTCGACCAGTTGCAACGACCCTCCACTCCAGCTTCCGAGGCCTCGTGTAACACCTCGCTCCGCCACGGTCCTACAGACGGTACAAGCAGCACGTTTCACTCTTTCAGAACTCACCCGATCGCGAATGCGCCATGTGCACGGACGACCTCGCCTTGGTGCTTAGATGAACAACTGGACTCTTGATGTCGTTGTCATGGGGACGATTGCCCTGAACCCCGCCGTCTTCGCAAACACCAACAGTACGCTGTTGTCATCCACCTGATCATGGGGTCAAGTGAGGGCGATGGCCCTGATGCTTCGTCTTTGGTAAGTCAATATATATTTCTATGTTTCTCTTCAAGCTGATTGAATCTTAGGGACCAGTCTCGTCGTTGCGCGCTCGCTTCGAGAGCGCTATTAGGCCTGATGAAGCTGCGCCGGCGTCGCAAGCTTTGGCCCAACCCTCAAGGGCCCCTTCAAGGCCAATATCGCCCGCTCCGAAGCCTGCGAAACTCAAAAACTTCAAGCCCGCGCATGATGTCCCTATTTCAGCACCGACGACACCCACAATACCCTCGAGGCCGAAGCCAAAGCTGGGAACAGCATCGTCCACGCGACAACAAGTCGACGCACCCGCGACAGCACCCCATGAGGTGAATTCTTTGAAAGACTCGACGTACAATCCTAAGCCTCCTGCAGTCACTATACAACCTCCAAAATCCCCTCCCAAAGGCCGGGTATGGAGCGACGGTCACGAGGAGACCCCGACATTCCTCAACCCAGATGCAGTCACTGGCACAATCACCCCTTGCGGTTCGCCCCAACACTCTGTGTCACCGGGGCGGCCTGCAACACCGACATCTGCTGTAACTGCGCCTCGTTCACCTCGAGGTTCGCGTCCACCTTCTCCGCCACCTCCTAGACGATCTGGGGAGATCAAACGCGAGCCGAAGCAAGCGCCTCCACCCCCAGCACCTCGGCGCGAGAAGGCATCGGGATCGGACACACATAGCTTCGGAGCCGGATTTGGTCTCTGCACGCCGAAGAAGCAGATGATATCAACGGAAACGTCTCCATTCAACAGCCTCCCTGGTAGTCCAGAGGCCGATGGCCCGGATTCTCCTCCGCAACTCCCAACTCGACCCCGGCCCCAGGCGATGCCCGAGCCTCCACCGAGGCCACGATCAGCTATGGGAAAGTCGTTTGAGCCACCCCCAGTGCATCATACTGTGCAGAAAAAGAGGGATCGGGCGTCAGAGACCAATGGCACGGGTGGACAAGCTCAACCCGGCCAAGCTCAATTCGGTCAATGGGCTAATGGTGACCTCCGGCCTGGGATGCTCCCCAAGCACCATGGTTATGAGCCACCTCAAAGACCTGTGTCAATGCAAATACCGACTGCGCCTCCAAGACCCCCACGCGCCTCACCTCCTGAGCAAGAACAAGCTCTCAGGTCTGCGCCTGGAAAACGAGTTTCATCCAACCCCTCGCCGCAACAGCTCAATGTACCACCGACACGTACGCATGGTAGATCCATGACTGTGGACAGTGGACCGACAGACCGACTGGCGATCGAGGCACATCCGGTCCCAAGTACGACTGTGGCCGCTCCAAAAGTAGCAAATCAGAATGCAGCGATGATGGCCCCGAAGAATGAGAACCTAGTTCCGGTGGTGGAATACCCGGATTGCTCCAGCACCAACAGGAGACCACCTTTTGGCAAGAAGACTGCTAGTGAAATCCAGACTCGATACGAACCGCGGGTATTCGACGTATGCGGTGAGCTTGTGTGCACCAGCGGGCAGCTGAGCCGTCTGTGGAGTGTCGTCGATGGGGATTTACGGATGAGCCTGGCACACACTGAGGGTGTGAAGGCCACATCAGTTGCCTTCAAGCCGTCTTTATATCCCCAGAGTGAAGCAAGCGCTATCTGGGTTGGGACCAACACGGGAGAGATCCTGGAAGTCGACCTCGCAACACATTCAATTGTGCCGAGCAAGGGCAGCATTCATCAACGGCGCGAGGTCACACGTATTTACCGACATCACAACGAGATGTGGACCCTCGATGAATTAGGGACATTGCACGTTTGGGGGCCAAAGGATGATGGTCTGCCTGACGCGACAGGCAACCCAAGTCAATCCTACAAGATGCCCAAGGAACACACTTTCTCCATGGTCGTTGGAAGCAAATTATGGCATGCGACTGGGAAGGAGATACGGGTCTTTGCACCGACACTGGACGGCCACACGCAGTTCCAGGTACTGATGCGGCCCATGATTGCCGAAGGCGCAGGAGACGTTACCTCAGGCACACTTGTGAAGACGCAACCTGGTAAAGTCTTCTTTGGACACGCCGATGGGAAACTCAGCATTTTCTCCTCCAAAGATTACTCCTGTATAGGTGTACTCAGCGTCAGCACCTGGAAGATGAATGCACTGGCCGGCGTCGGCCATCGCATTTGGATTGGGTACAACACAGGGAAAATCTGTGTCTACGATATCAGTGAAACGCCTTGGACCATCTTGAAGGAGTGGCAGGCCCACTTGGGACCTGTTATCAGTATGAAATGCGACCCAGCAGGTGCTTACCGGCTCGACCGCTTACAAGTCGTTTCACTTGGTGCGGACAACAAGCTAAAATTCTGGGACGGAATGCTCGAGGACGACTGGATTGAAGACGAGATGAAATCAAAGGACACTGAATATTGCGATTTCGATGAGCTGAGGGCTCTTGTGTTCACATGGAATGCTGGCGCCTCAACGCCCTCGAGTCTACGGTACTCCGCTAATGACGGAGTCTTCTTCCCAGAGCTCCTACAGTCCAGCGAATCCCCCGATATACTCATCTTTGGCTTCCAAGAGTTGGTCGACCTCGAAGACAAGACAGCCACAGCAAAACGCTTCTTGAAAGTCAAGAAGAAAGAGGGAACCGACCAGGAAACCATGAGCCACCAATATCGCGACTGGAAGAATTATCTTGTCAAGACTCTAGACGACTATATGCCCGCCGAAGACCTGTATCAGGTCCTTCACACAGCACCTCTGGTTGGGCTGTTCCTCTGTGTTTTCGTGAAAGCATCGCTCAGGGGCCGAATACGAAATGTACATGGTGCTGAAGTGAAGCGAGGGATGGGCGGTCTCCATGGGAACAAGGGTGCCGTTGCTGTGCGATTCCAGATAGACGACAGTTCCCTGTGCTTTGTCAACTGTCATCTTGCAGCAGGACAAACGCAAACCAACGCGCGCAACAGCGATGTCGCTGAAATCCTCGAATCTGGACTGTTCCCGACGGAGAAAGATTCAGACGTACGCATTGACACTTATGCTGGGGGCGGCGACGGCAGTCTGGTGGTCGACCACGAATTATGCGTCTTCAACGGCGACCTCAACTACCGCATCCACAACATGTCGCGAGACACCGTTGTTATGGCCGTCAAGCAGAACAACCTAGGCAAATTGCTTGAGCGTGACCAGCTCCTGGTGGCGCGTCGTCGCAACCCTACCTTCAAATTAAGGGCGTTTGAAGAGCTACCAATCACATTCGCTCCTACATATAAGTACGACGTCGGCACTGATCGTTATGACACGAGCGAAAAGCGTCGGAGCCCGGCATGGTGCGACCGTCTCCTTTTCCGCGGTCGGGGCAGGGTGCAGCAGCTTGACTACCGCCGACACGAGGTTTATGTAAGTGACCATCGCCCCGTCACTGGCAACTTCAGGTTTTGGGTAAAGAAAGTTCGACGCAAGGACAGGGCTGTCGTCTGGCAGCAAAGCCAGCAGAGCTTTGAAAGTGTTCGTCAAAAAGCAATTGCTGATGAAAAGTAAGTCTGCATCTCCGATACACTCTTGGCCAGCGTAACTCATCGCCATAGACTTCATTACCTGACGTTGGTCTGTGGCTACGACGAAACGACAAGCAAGCGCCTGATTAAAGAGCAGGGGGACAGCTAAAGCGAGCTTCATGAAAAGAGGCCATTCATGTCTAGCTACTTATACGTACACAGCGAGGCAAGGCATAGCACGCATCGTACAGAAATATCTCCCATGGGGTTTTGGGGGGGTAATCACGGCCGCGCATAGCTAGTAGGGCGTTTGAAGTTTATAGAATCATGGAAAGATCTGCACCATTATCACCTTGACCGAATAAAACAGATTTCCAAAAGGCTTCGCTACATGGAGCGTGGGTGGCATGTCAGCTCCGGCCATAGAGATATGAGAGGCCAGAGTGGTGAAGGGGGGTCACCCGCCCGGAGATTGTAAGCACCGAATAACCGATACACCGAAGCCCCGAGATACCGAGTGCAGACGTTCGCGACGTGACGCGTTTCTGCCACAACATGTTTCGGAAAACGTCACCAACTCATCTGTCCGACGTCCTCAAGCGGCGACGGCCACCAACCAAAGAAAAGTGTCGGACTTTAGGCATTTCTTCGTGCCATATCTCCCAGGCACCCTCTTAGCACCTCATTTCAAGCCTTCGCGGACCAGTCTGGGCGGGGGGGGGGAGGCTCTCGATGAGTCTCAATCGGTTGTCCGTAAGTCCGACCCGGCCCAACCTGTACGTTGCTACATAGGGTACCTGAAGCTGACTGCGACGCTCAAGTGTGTAAGGTGCAAAGACAGAAAGGTAAAAATGGTTAACATTTTCATCGCTTACTCGATGCTGATTGTCATCCAGGTGCGCTGTAATCGGATAGAGCCACAATGTGATCGTTGCAAGGCCCAAGGTGTCGAGTGTATATACCCTGTCCGACAAAAGCGGAGGGTGAACAGGCCAGCAGGGGACCACGAAAGGTGAGCTGGCTGAATACTCAATGCTACGTCGTTCTCTGATCGGGGGATTCTGTCAGCCTTTCGAACGGTGCCCTGTCAACAATCCTCGAGCGTCTGCAACGCGTTGAGCAGCAATGTGTGGCTCTCCCAGCGGACAGCCAGCAGGCTTCGCCACCTGAAGTCGCGCCGCAATCTCCTAGCCACAGGTCGTTGACGGAGCAGCCTGCTGCGACGGTGCGCCGGCCCTCGGCCCTTCCAGCAAGTGCTGCGTTGCACAACCAGTCAGCCAGGAGCTCGCCTGCTCTGTCGACCACGCCCCATGGCCCAACGTCCCGTTCCCCCTGGCGGCCACAGACAAGGCCAGCCTCAACTCCCGCGATAAGCAGCAATTCCGTGGATGCAACTGCCATCCTCAAAGATGCCATGGAACAGGTGGAGAGGTATCGTCTGCAGACGTACTCAGGCTCCATGATAACCAGCGAGATCGACATCCCACCAGATTTAGCCAGAACCTGGATCCGGCGTAAGACCAGTCGATTGCATGCACGCTCAATTCGCGCTGACTCTCGAAGAATATTTCGCGCAAAAGCCGACAGATATGTTTCTTAGTCTGATCGATAGGAAATTCGTCGAGATGATTCCAGAGATGCTGAAATTCCCACATGTACACATCGACGCTTGTGTACTAGTTATATACTACAGCGTCCTGTTCCACGGCTGCTCCATATTTGCGGGCACGGAGGCTGCTAACGCCAATAAGCACTGGGCGAAACTGGCATATGTCGCTTGTCTGCGAGCCATGCCCATCTGGCAGCGCGAATCAACTGGATCACTGACTGACATGATTGCATCGATAACATTGGTAAGTCGGACAGGCTCATAGTTGCCATCCCGCTAACGAGGTCAGGGCCGCGTTTGTGCCGAATGGTTCGACTACGAGCTTGCTTGGAACATGTTCAAACAAGCTGGCGAGTACGCCACGAAGCTGGGTATCCACAACCTGGATAGCAATGGCGCCGTGATGAGGGGAATTCAGAATCCCGACAATGCGGATGATGATCGGAAAGCTTTCTGGGATCTGGTGCAAGTCGACATGTTCTTCCGACTCATGTTCAACAAACCCCCTTCCATCTCGGGTAGCCCATGGAAAGTGAACCTGCCCTGGCTCAACGAAACGATCCCGAACCAAGGCGCCGAGAGGGCTACGATGTTTATCGCCTCCTCGCGTGTCACCCTGCTACTCATGCAGTTCTTTGCCATGCTTGAGGAGGCCGCGGGGAATCCATTGTTGATGATGCGCAAGACGGAGGCCATGTGTCTCGAAATCAGGGGTTTGCATGACGAGTGGGATCTGGTACGTGCACGCACCAAGCTTGATACAACGTCGCTAACGAGGACCAGGGGCGATTAGCCAGGGAAGCTGACCGTAACATTACAGACACAATGGCCGTCGCCGATATTGCCCTCAACTTTTTCACGTGCATCATTTTCATGCTCCGGAAAATGGCCACGCTCGATACTAGCTCTCCACAGCCGATTTTGACCGACGCCGATGTGCCCGACTCGCCAATCGCGCTCGACGCTGCACGTAACATTGTCGACATTGTTGGTTGGCTCCTGTCCAAGTACCCAAACTCTTCTACTCTTGCTGTGACGTTTGGAGTGTACCGCGCCTACATATCATTCGCGTACCTGGTCAGCCATATCCTGAGAACAGGGAATCTAGGGCCATATGAGGCCGACATGGAGTCTCTGAACAGAGTCAGCCAATGTGTCTCTGACATTGCCGCCAGCGAAAGGGATTTTATACCGCTAGCCACCGCTCTGCAAGGACTCAATGAGGAGCTCAGGAAGAAGACTAGGGATCGATGACAGGACGTGTTTTCCCGCAACCCCACATGACTATCTCGTTTGAGAGGCTTCTAGCATTAGATCAATGCGGAATATGATGGCCCTTGTGTACTTATTGTAAATGTCAATTGAACGCTCACGCGTCAGAAATGGTAGCATCACGAGAGTGGACCATCCCCATACATCATGTCCTACATCTCCGTCCTGACGTAGGCCACGAATGATCCCGTGTTTGCAATTTCAAGACTGCAAAGGGACCAGCAGTAAACCTTGTGTTTTGTGAGCATTCCTAGTACACAATCGAACTGCCCCTCGAGTGATCAGTACCAGGAGATTCGTTGATCTTCAGGAATCAGGTGTCTGTCGTCGTGATCAAGCGCTAGCTCTAAACAGACTAGCGTCTCTTTGGCGACCTGATAGGGGAAATTGCGGTTCCCAGACCCCTAAAGAAAAGGCAGGACCGACTGAAAGGCGATGGATGAGATGCTGCAGCTGTCTAGGGTCCGGGCTTTCTTTTGAAATTCCAAGTTCTTCTCAATCGCCTCCACTATCCACGACTTCTAGATTTAATACCATCCTGACATACAAGGTTTTCGATTGGGCCCATCAGTCTCAAGTTTCGGTAACCGTAGCCGGTCGCTGACGACCTCGAGCGTTCACCGACTTATCTCACCTCCCTTCCTGTAGCAGCACCGTCACGAGTTCACCTGCCTCAGCCAACATGGCCACGCCTCAAGTTATCCCTACAAAGCCCCAGAAGACGCCTTTGGGCGCTCCTCTGCCGGAAGTCAAGCCTGCACCCCGGCCCAAGCTCGACGCGGAGCAGGAGGCCAAGTTCAAGTCGCTCCTTGAGAAGGCGCGCGCCTTCACCGAGGTCACCTGCCCCAAGGAGACCTCCAAGTCCGGCCCCATCCGCGAGACTGAGCGCATGTGGCTCACAAAGGAATGCCTCCTGCGCTACCTCCGCGCCACGCGTTGGTCCGTCGCTGATGCGGCCAAACGGCTCCTGGCCACCATTGCCTGGCGTCGCGAGTATGGGCTGGAGGAGTTCACGCCCGACTACATCTCTCCTGAGCAGGAGACAGGAAAACAGATGATTGTCGGCTTCGACAAGCAGGGCCGCCCGTGTCAGTACCTGAACCCTTGGCGGCAAAACACGGATGCTTCGCCCAGGCAGATCCACCACCTGTTCTACATGGTGGAGAGGGTGACGGATATGATGCCCCCGGGCGTCGAAGCGCTGAGCCTGTTGATCAACTTCAAGACCACCAAACAGAGGTCGAATACCAGTGTGCCTGTCTCGACGGCTAGGGAGGTGCTGCACATTCTCCAGAATCACTACCCTGAGCGGCTGGGCAAGGCCCTCATCATCAACGGTACGCTAAGCACTTCTCGGGGAGAGGACACGTTCACTTACTAGAGTAGTGCCCTGGGTCGTCTGGGGCTTCTTCAAGATCATCACACCGTTCATTGACCCCATCACCCGCGAGAAGCTAAAGTTCAACGAGGACATGAAGGCCTACGTCCCTGCTGAGCATCTCTGGAGCGAGGATTGGGCTGGGAACATGGACTTTGAGTACGACCATGACACGTACTGGCCTGCGCTTAACGAGATGTGCAAGCAGCGCCGCGAGGAAAAGCAGAGACGCTGGGAGGCTGGCGGCAAAATCATCGGCGAGAGCGAGGACTACCTGACTGGCGGCACCAACGTCAGCGCCGAGGGCGTTGGGTACTCTATGGAGGCCGGCAAGCAGGTTGAGGATGTCGACGCCGTCGGCGAGAAGCTGGCCACGGTAACCCTGCAAGATTCCGAGGCCAAGGTCGAGGCTGCTTCTTGATCCGATCTGAATAGATGCTCATAGATTATAGAATTTGGAAAGATTTGACGGCCTTGGGATTCGGGAACGTCATTTACTAGGTTGTCATCTCCAGTTGACCCAAGAGCGACTCAAGCGACCCAACACATAGGATGGCGAGTTTGATTATGTTTCTTTACGCATTAAGACTCGAACTCCTACCAAGAGCTCCAAACACTAACAACTGAGTCTGCCGCAGCATCGGCTCCCGCTTTCCTCAGTGCCACTCGGATCAGGTTCAAGGCAGAGCTGCCCAAAAACACCGGGACCTTGAGTCTTTGCGCTTCATCCACCGCCGCACCGAGATCTCGGGCAAAGTCCGCCAACTGGAGTGCATCACCGCCCCGCGCCTCGCCCCGCAGCGCCTTCATGATGCCGGGGCCGACCTTGGACAGCATCGCAGAGCCTCCCGCCGCATTGATGCATAGCTCAAAGACTTGCTCCAGGTCCAGCCCTACGTGGTGAGCAAACGACAGTGTCTCAGCCGCAGCACAGAGATGGATGCCCTTGAGAAGGCTTGTCACCAACGCCAGCTTCTCGTCGTCCGTGGTCGACGCAGCCTTGACAAGTCCGAGTTTGCCCTTGCCCTCGGTGTACAGGCGAATGAGGCTGGCGTCGTCATCGGTTCCATATCCCTTGCCTAGACCCAGGAAGTACACCTGCTCTGCTGTGCTGGTCATTGGCGTGGGGAACTCCGCCCTACGGGCCTCGACCGTGATGATACTCGTGTCCTTGATGATGATGTTGACTGCGCTGGCCAGTGGACCGTGGTTTGCGTCCAGGATGCGCGGCACTCGGTTCTCCAGCATCCAGCTCCATCCGTCCGACTTGATCAGCGCCTCTGCCGTCTTGGGGAGGTCAAGATCCAGCTGGTGCGCGAGACCCATGGCTTCGCTCGCCGAGGCGATTTGATTCGCTGCCAGGACCTGATGGCACATTTTCATGTTGCTGCCGGCTCCGATGCCACCAGCCACAATGTACAGTTTTGCGGGATCGGACATGACCTGGAGAACCACCCGGCCCCTTGCGATGGCAGCATCCGAGGCGCCTGCCATGATGGACAGTGTGCCGTTCCCGGCGCGTATGGCACCCCCCGACACTGGACAGTCGATCAGATGCACATCCGGCCTGCCAGCTGCGTGAATGGCCCTTTCCAGCTCTTGCACGTAGCTGCATGGCACCGTGGAGCACAACAGGATCACTGAATTGTTGGGAAGAACTGGCACGGCGGGCTCCTCGCCATCGAGGAGCACCTCCTGGGCTTGTTGCGCGGTTGCGACCATGCAGATACAGACGTTCTTCCCGGATGCCGCCTCGGCGGGTGTTGATGCTATGTTGCCGCCCTCCTTGGCAAAGCGTTCGAGTGTCGGTGCCCAGACATCAAAGCCCGTTACTGCGTACCCTTCCTTGATCAGGTTGGTGGCCATGCCGAAGCCCATGGCACCGAGACCGATGAACGACAAAGGCTCCTTGTTCGCCATTGTTGCTGATATCTCTGGATAATGGTCGAATCTGTCTATGCTGCCTTCCTGTTGCTCAACCACTCAAGTCAAAAGTAATAGATGAAGGCGAGACGTGGGGTTGGTTGTACACGTAGTGTGAGGGTCAGAAGTGAGGTGGATGATCGGCAATAGAAATGGTAAGTGTTTAGTTATATAACAGTTCAGACGTGAGTGTACTGCTTGCTGCATACGTAGTTCCAGTTGATATTTACCCGCTGCCAGAAATGTCCTTAATTGTTCCACAGTGCCCCGTTGCGCCGCCACCTTTTCTTCATTTGTGGGGGAGAGGAGGAGATAACGCCGCACCAGAGGCGAAGAGCGCGGCGTTGATGCCAAAGGTGAGGTTAGTGCTACCCCGAATGTGATTTGCGCGGCTCGCTGGACTCCTTGCTTCCTTATTTGTTACTTCCGCCGAAAAACACTTTTTCCTGCGATTTGACTCGTCTCGCAATTGTGTAGTTTTCAGTCGCAATGCGCCCAGGAACGGCAGTCCTGAAGCCGGTATCGGATCCGCAATTAGTTGTTGATGGGCGGGCACATGCAGTCTTCTCAGCTCAGAGCCGATCTCACTCCAGGCTAATTGCATCTATGTACGGCGGAGTCTCCCCGGCCCCCAGCCTGAGCTCCATACTGAGCTCCCAATGTACAGGACAAGCTATGCAAGCTTCATGTTGTCCTGGAAACCTTCGTCAGCGATTCGACGTTCACGCTCACACAGCCGGCTGGAGTTGCGCTCATGAGCGCAAATACGTCTGTAGTCTGTGCCCAACGCTTCACCTAGCGCGGCTGAGCGGACTTCGATTTTGAAGAAATCATGCACTCGTGCTCTCTTCTCACTTGAAATATAATACTAACTACATGCGGCAGTATCTGGTTTCGTTGTTGTGAGCCTTCTCCTTTATCAGGAATCGCATTTTGACCGCAGCCTGTTCCAAGCCAAAGATGATCCATTTCACTCCGCTTCTTGTCGTTTGTTCAACGGCCAGCCAGCAAATTTGCACCTTGGAGAGCCCCTGGTACCCCCTTATATGCTTCATGGATATAATCACACTTCGCGCAGCCATTCGGAAGCATAAGTCCATCTTCTAAGAAATGAAATTGCAGTGCGTAGCCAAGTCGACAGAAGTCTGCTTCATCCTCATGTTCTGTAACCTCAAAGAGGGACATGTTGAAGAACCCGCTGTGGCTATCCTGAGCGAGCAACTTCTTGCACTTCACAGAAACCCCCATTGTTGTACACATCGTTCTCTTCAACGTCATAAAAGCACGGCAGGAGATTCTCGTCCAGAGACACGAGTACTTGCGGGTCGATATTTTGTACTGTGAATTCTTGTGATCCTTGGAGGCGAACTGCATCCCACATCACGTAACCTTCCAATCGCAAAGCTAGCTGCCTGAAACGATACTCGCGAAGCAGGTACTCAGGGTCTAGCGGCAGTGCCAAACACGTCAACCTCATGGCTGTGCGAGGGCCGTCATCGGCGTCAAAATTGGCAGGCTTACAATTGCGCAAGGTATCGATCATATTCGCAGGGCTCTGAAGCCATGTGTGTAAGTGAGCAGAGCTCAGAGCCTCTTTGAATCGATTGTCTTGGGGAAAGTAGCGGAGGGCTAGGTTATGAAGCTTGCAGGCGCTCTCAATCAGGTGCGATTTCAGCAGCAACGCTGACCCGCAGTCGGACAGAGGCCCAGGCTTGAGGCTTTGTTGAATCAACACATGAAGGTCGCGAGGACCCAGGCGGAGGGCGCCATGACTTTCGCGCCGCTCCATCCTACGCATGTAGGCATCCATGTATGTACAGATGGAATCTTCATTCATCTTTCCGACGAGTCCTAGCAACGTTACTTTGGTCATTTTTCATGGTTCCTAGCAGATGTACCAGCGGCTACTTGCTGCAGCAAGCAAGCAGTCACACAGGACATTTGTTCCACTTCTACTGCTGACAGCCTGTCGAGGAAAATCTTGTCGAGTGCCCCCATGTCGACTAACCGTGTCTTTGACATTTGAGGACGTCTGATGCTGGGATTCGGCCGGAAATTGGGCCAAAGCTTTTTCTTTGCCCACTGCTCTCGGATTCGCTGCGCTTCAAAGTAGGTAGAGAGATGAGAGGAGGTTTTCAGGAATCTCTTGTGCTCACTTGCACTGGCACCAGGCAGCGCCGGGTTCCAGGGAGCAGGCACTCTCTCGCGGTCAAGAAGGTACTTGGCAGTTGTTGACGCACAAATGCCATACAGTGTACTGTTCTTTGCTATCGACCGGACGTGGGCAAATGTCCAACATTCTTTGGAGGTGTCTGAATACACGACAGCCGAGAGCCTGAGTTCGTCCAATGCCTCGCCAAGTCTCGTCCCAGGGTATATGCCTTGGGTCGTCACGGTCTTCTTCAGGATCTGAACGTTGCTCAGCACCTTTGCCCTCGACAGAAGTGGACGATCGTTGAAGAGTGCCGGAAGAACCATTGATTTTTAGGTTGGCGTCTTCTGAGCGGCAAAAACTTCGTACCAGTGCCTACAAGAGCATGCTAGGTTGACAACGTTTCTGAGGCAGTGATCGATGTTGTGATCGATGTTGTCAACGTCGAGTTCATCACCCTCGACTGTTGTATTCGCGACTTCGTCGGGGGTCAAGTGGACGTGGTTAGTATGGAGAATTTTCCTGAGGTTGTCAGTGTCGAGGTCCTCGCTCCCGATTGTCGAACTCAAGGCTTCCTCTGGGGTAAAGCAGTCGGGGCTTGTATAGAGATGTTTCCCCCGAGAATTGTATCTATCAGCCGAGCCTTGTGCATGGTATCCTTCCCAGTGTGCAAGGTGCATAGATATCTCAAATCGTACTTCGTGTGGTAGCTGAGCCGTGAGTGGGGAGGGCGGATATCGGAGCTTCATTATTACAGGATGATAGGGGCGTGAGGATGGGCAGGCGAAACTGCGAAAGAAGAACGTGCAAAGAGAGGACTAGAGGTTCAGAAGAGGAGTCTTCGATTTGTGTGGGCCTCTGAGAGAACATATGCTTACCTTAGCTTGATGAGGGCCAAGGTATCTGGTAGGAGTCGGGCGACCGCGGTAACTACTTTGAGCAGGAACGACCGTCCCATGTGGTGAACACCAACAAAACTTCCCTTCTGCGTACTGCCTGTGATATGGCGTGCCTAGTCCGATAATCTTGGTCAAATCCTACCTACCGTAGAGGGATAGGTTCTGAGACCAGACAGTGCCCGGGCCGCATTCTGCGTTACTTCAGCAGTCCTTGCGCTCCCAAGCGTTCATAAAGGGGTACAAAGTAAACAAGCTGCCCCAAGGGCAATGAAAACTTGATAGAAGTGTAATGGAAGAGAGTAGGACCACAAGAATTATATATGAAGTCAAATTGGCATCTACATTATATTGGCTCCAGGTGCATCAGGTATTATCTCAGAGCACACGAATGTTATGCTCAGGTATGTGCTCAACTGTTGATGCAAGCCAGTCGTTGACCTTCCACCGCAATGATCAAAGAAGGAACATATCAATGGATACCCCTTATGATAGCACACTGTTAACTTTTAAATTTTGAATAATTCACCTGGCATCGTATGAGACCTTGCAACAGGATCAGTGAAACTCCAAGTGACCAGACAGATCCATCTAGCGAGAGCACCACAGGGTAGGCAGACCACTTCAGCCCGACTGCCGATAACCGGATCACACCTCGTCGCGTAGCTCTGCCCCGCCGATAGAGACTCCTGCCAATGCACCATGACCATTACGTCTGGCGATGTTACACACACCATGGTCAGCGCTCTGAATATTCCCACGGATGGAGCTAACGAGAGCTAGAACAAGGACGCTTGCTTCACACAAGTGCACATGCGCTCGCCGCGCCATGCCGACATCTTCGAGGATTTCTGCAAAGACAAGCTCCCCAGCGACGACATCTACGTCCCGCCTCAACACCAGCCCATAAACCCCGAAGACGAGGACGACGTGGTTCCAGACCAGCACGCTGCGTTTGGCATTCAAAGGGCAACACAAAAGAACAAGGAGCCAGCGTGGAAAGATCTGGGATTGGCCGAGCTGATGAAGAAGCAGCCAAAGGACAGGGTCGCTTTTGGTGGTTCGGGCAAAAAGGCGCCGCGGTAACTGGGTTGAGAGGAGAAAGTAGCACCTTTCGTGTGGCGATTGGCCGTCAGTGACACAATAGCATGGCGTTAGGAGTCGTAAATTCATAATATCACTTGCTGGCGTACCAGCCAAGCCCGGCAAACGCCTAGTAACGCCACTCTGTGGCACAATTTGTCCCCTGCACAATCAGCTCTTGCCCAAGTATGCCTCGCGCTCGACCACCTCGCTCCGGAACTTGATGAGGAACACCGTCTTGCCCGGCCACATTTCCCCCTCAGGTACCGAGTGTGCCGTCACCTTGCCCGGAAAGTCCGCACCGTCACAGACGCCTTCCACAATGCCAGCCACAAACGCCGCACAATTCAGGCTGCTCATATCCTTGGGCACGCTAATGAAAGCATTCACCAGGGGCTCGTTGTCGATTATCATGTAGTCGTCGGGGTTCTCGGGGTCTGCCGACTTCTCGAGACGGTCTGCCGCCCGCGCGAATAGATGCGTCCAGAGAGACGTACGGATAAAGTGTAGTAGGGCGAGGATGTTGGTCGGACGGTGTTGGGAGCGGGGCGGTTCGCGATGGAGGAGAAGGTCGAGAAGCTTCAGGCCGATCGCATGGCCCTGGACATTGAGTCTGGTATTGTAAGTAGGGGGGTGGCTCAACGATAGGCAGCATACCTTTGTTCCAGCTCTTGGACGCCTTTGACGCGCCGCTGCGCATAGGTCACCATCTCTCCAAAGAGATAGGCGAAGCTGGCCTGACTGATCTCAGCCGTCTTTGTGCGGTTCAGCGGGCGGTGATAGATTGTTTTTCCATTGCTGGGTACGCGTAGGCCGCCATCTTTCCCCGAAGAGGGAACTGATGGTTGTGACATGGCGTGTATACATGTGGATTGAGAATCAACGCTCTCCCAGTTGGAGATGCGATGCGACAGGGGAGTGATGACGTAGGGTAAGCAAATCAAGGCAATTGCTGAAAATAAATGCACGATAAGATAAGCTCTCCTGATTCCTGACTTCTGACATTTGAATCACTATCAAGTTTCGCCGATCTACCATTCGCGTACGGACCATTCCTTGTCAATTTGTTGCCGAATGGTGCACATGTATGAATTTTTGTCCAGCTTCAGAACTCGCTGCTTTGCGACGCGAGACACTGAGCTTGTCAGCGCCAGAACGCCGTTTTGATTGCATCTTCACCTTACCCGAAAGTGCTTGAACGACCTTTTCACCTTGACAAAGGGCACCAAGCACCTTGTTCCGGCCCTCTAACCCGACAAGGCGCATCGCTAGCTCAAACATTCGTCTTGAAAGCCCTGAGTACGCACAGCGTGTAACGTAACGAGATGTGCCTGTGTCGTGTGGGCAAAGCACCGTCATCGTGAGGGATGCACACAACCCATGCACACTCTGCGTCGTAGAGGACATACTGTAGTAAGGTACCTTGTGGTGGAGTTTCCACAGCACGCACTACGCAGAGGGCAAACCTGCAGCCGGTGTGATTTCGTGCACCGTATGGTGAGATTGTGGCATTGTCCTTCTCTGGGTATGTCCGTTGAAGGCGGTTTATGTCTGCTTCGGTTTGCCCGGTGCTTCCAGGTTATGAACTTTCACTATCTTCAATTCAAACTCATGCGCCTAGATCCACGATGAGTCAAACCCAGATGCAGGAACGTGACAACGTTGAGCGTGACTGCAGCCCAGTCCAGGTGGCGAAAACCACCAACGAGTTCTGCCTTGGTTTGTCTTTGACGGCACACACGACACCGCTACTGTTGTTTGACAAAGCTGCAAGCACGAATGCGATTCTGCATACAAACAGGGACGGTCCTTGAAAAGTCACAAGTCGATGCGGAACGATGGACCATTCAAGTCTCCCACACTGGCGCAAACAATGTGGGATGTGACAAGCTGCGTGATGCAGTGGGACCCCGAGTCGCCGCGGCCATCAAAAGCTAAGTAGCGTGCAGGGCGTCCATTCGTGCGGGCAAAGCGAGCGTGTGACTTGCAAAGAGTCACTCACCACTACTCCACGAAGACTAGCTTCAATCCCTATAGGCCTTCGTCAGCGATATGTCCGCCTAGCCTACATGCCTCTCGCCGCATGTGTTCTGCTAGACGGGATACCAAAGACATAAATACTCCACGCTGCGCCCTTCATTCTTCATTAATATGTTGTGTTTTGGTGGCATGCTCAACATGTCGGCAGCCAACATCATAGACTCTCTTGAAAAGTTGGGCATCGTTCCATCCATGCCAAAGAATACGACTAACACCAGCAATGGGACCTCACTACATTCGCCTCTTGTAGATACTCTTCTAGCATCTGCCGGACTGGGCGCGACTTCGCCCTTGGTCCAGGTAGCACTTTTCATCTACACTCGCCTCTCGGACCACTTAGGCATCGACCCCTCGCTGCTGCTCACTCTGTTTGGAGTTCTGTGGTCGCTCAAGTATTTTGTTTCTCAGGTGCAAACATATGTTGGCGATGTGATCGAGCGGTATCTCATGTGTAGTATTACAGTGAGCGGAGAGGATGATATGTACAGCCACCTAATGGAGTGGCTTAGCAAGAACCCCAAACTCAACAACAAGCGCTTCCTCACAGCACAGACTGTATGGAGCGGCCCTTGGGAAGACGAGCTGGACGAGGAGGGAGAGTTGAAGGATGACAAGAATGATCTCTTCTGGACTGACGCGGGCGGCGAGATTCGCTATCTCAACTTTTCGAATCAGGCGGCCAGGTCAGCTCCCAGGTTTGTTCCCGCCTTGGGGTCTACCACGTTCTGGCATCAGCGAACATACTTCCGTCTCAGAAGGTCAAAGGAGACAATGATGACTACTGGATGGGGCAAGGCAACAAAGGATCAGGAGGAAATCCGGATCTTCTGCTATGGACGATCTATCAGTAAGTCACCCGCCTTGTTGAGGTACTTCGCGCACATCAGGCTAATGGACCAACTCAGTGCCTCTCAAGAAGCTTCTAAGCGAAGCCAAAATGCAGTTCTTCCACGACACCCACCAAAAGACCACCATATACCGTCCACGGCAGAAGGAGAACCGTAGAGAACATTGGTCTATGTGGCAACAAGTAGCGCGGCGTCCTGTCCGGCCAATGGATACCGTCGTACTTGCAGACCAGGAGAAGCAAGAAGTCCTTGCGGACATCAACGAGTATCTGCACCCTGCAACCCCTCGATGGTACGCCTCGCGAGGCATCCCGTTGAGACGCGGTTACTTGTTCTACGGTCCACCTGGGACCGGCAAAACAAGCTTCTCTTTCGCATTGGCAGGCGTATTTGGTATCGACATTTACGTGATCAGCCTTCAGGATGCTACAATCACCGAGGAGGATCTTTCCGTTCTGTTTACCAAGCTGCCTAGACGGTGCATAGTCTTGCTTGAAGACATCGACACTGCCGGGCTTCGGAGAGCCAATGACGAAGATGAAAAGGAAACCGTGGTCAGCAAGCCGGTTGATGGGAAGGAAAAGGGGTCCGCTACTAAGGATGAAGCCGTTGTCGTCAACGGCGATGCTGAGAAGACGGCGCATGACCTTGACAAGAAAAAAGGAAAGAAGAGCAAACCAAAGAAATCAGGCACAGACACCAGCGACTCAGAGTCTGATTCGGACGAGAAATCGAAGCGCAAGAAGAAGAGCAAGAAGACGACTCGCCGCAAAGACGCAAGGTTGATAGCGCATGAGGCGATATCCCTCTCGGGGCTGCTCAATGCTATCGATGGCGTCGCATCTCATGAAGGTCGCGTGCTCATCCTCACGACCAACAAGCCAGAGGATCTTGACGAAGCCCTTGTTCGACCCGGCCGAGTCGACCGCCAGGTTGCGTTCACCAATGCTTCCAGTGCGCAGGCCGAAGAATTGTTCCAAAGGATGTACGAGAGCAGGCGATCACGACAACAGCTGGTCAAGGGTGCCCAAAAGGCAAAATCGACAGTCGAGAAGGGAATCGGGCCCTACCTTGTTGATGCCGACGATGGCGGACCCCTGACACCAGAGGAGCTGAAGAGGATTGCATCTGAGTTCGGGCAGCTTGTCCCGGAGCAGGTCTTCTCTCCAGCTGAGATCCAGGGGTTCTTGTTGAAGAGGAAGAAGGATCCTCGCAAGGCCTTGGAAGAGGCCGTGTCTTGGATCGAGGTAACTCTCAAGCAAAAGGAAGCTAAGAGCAAGGTTGTGACCGTCCAATAAATTCATAAGAGACGTTGAAGAGCATCACTTTTCAATTCAGGGCACGAACTAGTCGCAATGTCAATTGAAGATATGGATTTACATGTGCGGCGTGGCCGCGTGGAGTCCAGTCAGCCACAGAGCTGTGCCACAGCCGCCACAGGCTCCAAGTCGGCTGCGGCGCGTGCAGCTGCGGGGCATAATGTGCGGCTGGCAGGCAGGCATGGAGTAGCTTCGAGCTTTCCAAATGACTTTGTGTGATTTCTCGAGCTTCACCCCACCAAGCGCAGCTTGAACCTCGCCTCATCATTCCTTGACTGAAAGACCCTGGGGGAGGCAAGTCATGTGCCGACTTTGACCTTCTAACAAACCTCACTTCGCTGCAAGCATCAGATTGAGTCACCTTCTCGTTAACAACAGGCTTGCCTTCCTTCTCCTCATTGACTCGATCTCCCGCCATGGCCGCCCCTCAGCAGGCATCGCCTCAAGCGGTGATGAACCTCATTGGAAAGCTCAACGAGACTGACCCCGATTTGCGCTTCATGTCACTCAATGATTTACTCCAACTCTTAAACAATGCAAAAGCCGATTTCCTTCATCACGACTATAACACAGCCGCCAGGGCGGTCGACAACGTCATCAAGACCTTGGATGACCAGAATGGCGAAGTTCAGAATCTCGCCATCAAATGGTACGTCCACCTCCCAAGACAAGAGATCAATTGCTAAGAATTATCATAGCCTTGGTCCACTTGTGAAGAAAGTCCCAAGCTCGATTATCGCGCCCATGATCGACAAGTTGTCGCAGCTCAAGCTGAAGAACGCTGTTGACACGGCTGTTCCGTCTCTCGCGCTACGAACTGTTATAACTGCCCTCCCGCGACCGACACCCGGTACCCCAAGCAATAGTGATGTGCAAGAATCATACAAGGCGATCAGCAGGGTCTTGATTCCCCGATTATTAGGCCCGGGTCCCAACACCAAGGTACCCCAAACACAACACGCCGCTCTACCACCAGTGCCAGAGGGCATGCTCGAGGTGGAAGGCGATGTCCGAGGCGATGCTATTGATGTGATGATTGAAGTTGTGCGCTGCTTTGGACCTATGCTCGAGCAGGTTGAGGTTGAAGCTATGCAAGAGATCACCATAAACATCCTGAGCAATGAAAAAGGCACATCGGTCGTCAAGAAGCGGGCTGTCGTCGCCGTATCCATGCTGGCGGTATACCTGACAGAGCAGCATCTTCAAGAGACGGTTGAAAGGATTGCCCAATCACTACGACATCCTGTCGTTGCGCCAGTCGCGCGCAAGCTATATATTTCCATCTTGGGTAGCATGGCCCGATCTGTCCCAGTCCGCTTCGGGCGTCATGTTGGAAGCACCGCACCTTTGGTGCTCGAAGCTCTTTCGGCTTCTGAACTCAAGAAACACATGCAAAAAGTTAGCGAAGGTGAAGATATTGGTCTCGAGTTCAACGAGGTCCGCGAGGCGGCGCTGGTGACAATTGAAGCTTTTCTAGCCTCCTGTCCACAGGACACAAAGCCTTTCACTGATGAGCTCATCGCCTCCTGTTTACGATACCTCAAATACGACCCGAATTACGCAACGAACGAGGACGATGAGATGGAAGTCGACGAGGACGAGGACGATATGGACGAAGACGAAGACGAAGATGAAGATTTCGACGAGGACGATACTTTCGATGACGATGACGACGACGCCAGCTGGAAGGTCCGCCGGTGCGCTGCAAAGGCTTTGTACACACTCATCGCGACCCGGGGAAGCGGAGAACTTCTCGAGAACGGCGTTCTGTACAAACAAGCAGCCCCGCCGTTGGTCAAGCGTATAGATGAGCGCGAAGAAAATGTGCGCCTTGAAGTCTTGTCGACTCTGTCCCTCCTGGTCCGGAGGACTGGAGAAGGCCTGCACGCAACCGACTTAGGCTCGGACGAACTCGAGCCAGAAGTCAGCACTCAGGTCCCCGTTAGCAGGAAGCGTAGGAGGCAAAGTAGTGTAGGCGGGAGTGCACAACCGCTTGAGGTCCCCGGCTCTCGGTCGCCTATCCTTGACAAGATTCCTCTATCTGGCCCGCAGGCCGACCTTGCCAGCTTGGTGCCATCAATCATCAAGGCTGCCACAAAGCATCTCAAAGGCAAAGCTGTGCCTACAAAGCAGGCCATTATAAGACTACTCGACGATACGGTATCGGTCCAACGAGGCGGTCTCACAGACCACCTCAGCGCGGTAATCGGGCCAGTAGTGGAAGCTGCCAAGGCATCAGGCTCAGGAACCGTGGCATCGGCAGCTGGCGGCACCAGCACGTCGGCTTCTGCGACTCCAAGCACTCTCAAAGTGGAGGCTTTGAGATTGATAAGCGACATTGCCAAGACTCACTCGTCTGCCAGCCTCCAGGCATATCTGCCTGAAATTGTTGCCGGTGTTCAAGTTGCAGTTCAGGACCGGTTCTACAAGATCTCAAGCGAGGCCATTCGCACAATCGAGGAGCTCATCAAGGCCACAACTCCGCCTCGGGCCAAAGGCACCCGTCAGAATCACAAGACTGAAATCAACGCCTTATTCGATATTGTGATGCAGCGAAGCTCGTCCAACGATGCCGATGCCGAAGTGCGGCAGCGTGCCCTCCACGCCCTTGGTGTCCTCGTATCACGAACATCTAACGTTGAAGGAGACATGTTGCTCGCCACTGACAAGCGCAACATGGCTCTTGCAGTTGTGCAAGAGAGGTTGAAGAACGAGACAAGTCGGCTTGCTGCTGTGCGCGCTGTTGATCAAGTCGCTGCCACGGCGCAAGCTGGGCAGCTACAAGGAGCGTGGGTTCGGGAGGTCGCGCTTGAGCTCGCCGTACAGCTGCGAAAGTCGAATCGCTCACTCCGAGGGTCAAGCATCGTGGCCCTGAAGCACCTGATTCTTTCCCCCGCCTCGCGCGGCAATCTGGACGACGCGACTATTCAGGGGGTAGTGGATCAGCTATTGCCTAGTATCACCAACGGCGACACACACCTGCTTGGTCCTTCCCTTGTGATTCTTGCTCATCTTGTGCCTGATCATGCCGAGTTGGTTATGACCCAAGAAATGGTCGTTGCACTAAGCGCCCTCCTCAAGTCACCGTCTGCGAGCATTGTCTGCGATGCCATCATCGAGCTGGTGACCAGTGCGGGCAAAGCAGGTGCCGGTGCGTCACTCATGCAAGCCCTCCTACGGGATGTCAGCATCAAGGGAGACACCGCTGTGGTTGGGAAGGTAATTGGATCGCTGCTCGTGGTGAGTGACGGTGCTCTTGCTGGCGTTACGGTTGATAGCTTCGTGAAAGAGCTCAGCACCAGCCGAGAGAACAAAGACGATTCTCGACTTAGCCTGGCTTTGGCTGTCCTTGGTGAGGCAGGCAGAGGACTTGGGTCTTCATCTCCCTTGAAGCCTGGTCTTTTCTTGGAACAATTTGGTTCCGAGCCTGACAAGGTTTCATTGTCTGCAGCTCTTGCGCTGGGCAGAGCGGGCTCCGGCAACGTGGGGACCTACCTCCCTACCATTCTGGAGACGATGAACAATGGGGGCAACATGCAGTATCTTCTAGTTCAATCTCTGAAGGAGATCTTGCTGTCAATCACCGGCCTTTCCGCCGATATCCGCGGTTATGCGAGCGGTATCTGGGACAAGCTGCTGCAGGCCTCGGAACACGCTGACAACAAGATCGTATGCGCAGAGTGCGCAGGGCGCCTAGTGATCCTGAGCCCTGCCGAATTCGGACCGCGTCTTCAGGTTGGTCACATCGAACCCCTTGTGAAATTGGCATACTAACTATTTGCAGACATTGCTGTCAGATGACTCGCTCGCCGTACGTGGCATGGCTGTCCAGGCCATTCGCTACACGCTTCCGGAGAGTGAGGAAGGATTCGACGCCATCTTGCGCAGTAGCCTGGTGGACATGCTTCTCATGGTCCTACAAGATCAGGATATGGAGATTCGCAGGCTAGGCATGACCACGTTGAACTCGGCGACACACAACAAACCTGACCTTGTTTTGCCTCACCTCGGGCGCCTCGTCCCTTTTGTCCTCGAGGAATCTGTCATCAAACCCGCGCTCATAAGGGAGGTCAAGCTGGGACCATTCACACACACGGTTGATGATGGCCTGGAGGTTCGCAAGGTACGCTGTCCTGCTCAGCATCCGCAAGGCCACACGCTAACATTGACCAGAGCGCATATGAGACTCTGTATGCTCTTATGGAGACTGCTTTCAGCCGCATCAACCACATTGACTTTTACGATCGCATCGTCGCTGGACTCAAGGATGACAACGATATTCGACAGCTGTGCAACCTGATGATCACCAAACTATCTGTCATCGACCCCGAAGAAACAGCGCGCCGCTTAGATTCGATCGCAGAGGCTTATCGGGCAGTGCTGTCGGTCAAACTGAAAGAGAACGCCGTCAAGCAGGATATCGAGAAGCAAGAGGAGGCCAACAAGAGCGTCTTGCGAGTGACTCTGCTCCTGGGAGACAAGATGAAGGCCTTGACGGGCAACGCTGGAGCGGCGACAAGCAACGCTGGTGCTGCTGGGACATGGCTAGCATACTGGGAGTGGGTGAACAAGGACTACGAGAAGCAGCTCCGGGCTTTGCGTGAGGAGAAACGTGAGCTGCAGACGCGCATGGTCTAAGAAACAAGCTCCTTTTCTTTTTCAAGTAGCGTGGGCACATAATTTAAGTAGTCCAGCGGCGCACAGCTGTGGTTATGTATATGATAGCAAGGATTACGAACAGGCCGCTGGACGTAGCCGAATTCGAGTGTCGAGTTGCGCGCCCGTTTTCCTTGCTTACCTGCCGTCAGAAGCCCAGGTCAAATCGGGTAACACCAGGTGCCGGCCGGCCAGACATCGAGCAAGGGCCTTGCTGGAGGCTTCCTTCGGCCACAATCCCAATTCTCAAGCCTGTCTCCTACGGGGGTTACATCATTGATGGGATCCTGACCTAGTCTGAAATCACCATCTTGCACAGCGAAGTCTCTGCGCCCTCAGTTGACCTGTCGGCTGCTTGGACTGCCAATGGCAATGTGCCGATGGATCGGCGTGTGCTAGGCAGCCACTTAGGCATGTCCGGTGCCAAGAGGGATGAGTTTTTTTTTCCCTTTTTTTCCACCGTTGAATGGATTCACCCGGTCCCATGAACTTAACATAATAAGGTGGATCAAGAGTTTTGACCCTTAGAAACGTGGGGTGGACGCGGCCTGGCATCGACACCCGGGGAGAGAACGGTACGTGAAATAACCCAAGTATTTGTATGCAGCAAGAGAGAGAACAAGCGACCAGCCGTCAAGTGCTATGTAGTAGTATTCAGCTCCCAGGCTGCTGATGGTTCGAGTCTCTGAAGACGATGTCGGTGCGTGGCTGTTGGTCGTCCGTATTCGAGGGTGCGCGATCCCCGGCGGCCTATAGGATCATACACTGCAGCTAGGCCCTGTCGGAATTCGCATGTCGACCCTGATGAGCCCTGGAACCCAACGTTACGTCGTGGGTGCACCTGTCGTCTCCATGTCTTTCTTGTTTCGTTTCTTGGCTGGTCCTTTCTTACTCTCCTCTTCTACGCACGCTCAATCGATGATTGACGCGGCACATTGACTGAGTTGCCCCGTGCTGGCCTGGGTTTTTCTCGTTCAATGGGGCTCAAAAATTCCAGAGCCTATGTGGAAGAAGCTTAAAAACAAGGATTAATGGGCGCCAAGCCACTCTATGACTTGTGATTGGGGTGTGGGTCGCGGGCTGGGAGTGGGAACGTGACGAATGCCGACCTGGGTGCTGCTATCCGCAGTGGTTGATGACGGCCTAGCTAGCGTCGGCAAGGATTACCGTAGGCTGCTGGTAGGCCCGTAGTCTTCCCAAGTACTACGTAAAAATCGGCTGCGGCTCAGCAGTGGGTCGAATCCTAGCGCAGGGGCACCCTGCACGGATCGATCCAATTGTACTCCAACATGTCGTGATCGTCTCTTGACTTTCGGCGTTCACCGTCCGCACTGTCGTCAACATCTGCAATGAAGTTTGACGAACGTCAGCAAGGGCTGGCCCCTGCCCCCCATGTCGCCATCCACAGGGCATCCATTTCCGAGCACCATTGGTTCATCGCCGCCAGTCACGGCATGGCGCTGCATGGCCAGACGTGGAGGTAGCGCCCAGTGCGCGTTCCTTCCACTTGGGTAGGTAGCTTTGGAAGTGCTCCTTCGTCCGCCCGTCCGTCTTTCCTGCTCGATTTATGGTCCAGTTCAGTTCAGTCCAGTCCAGTCGCCGCTGTCGATTTTTTACAAATCTCTCCTCGGACTCTGCTCTGCAAGGTTCCTCCTCTCTCACCCTCCTTCCTTACCACACGCACTCGTTGCGCTCTCGTCGTATCACCCACCAGTTTGTTTCCAATCTCATATGTGCGTTGTTTCCCATGGTATCTTGAACAACAACCTCGATCTACCCTCTCCATCATCGCGTCCTTCCGGGACAAGTGTACGGCAACCATGAACGCCATACGAAGCTTTGGTTCCGGCGTGGGCAATGCGCCACGACGCGCCAAAGAATTGGGACCGATGGGTGTGCTCAAGGCTGTTGGTAATGCATTTGCGCCTCCTCCTGCACAAGCAGAGGACGGTCGTGATCAGTGGCCCTCGCGTACTTCTTTCGTCCTGGCGTGTATGGGTGGTTGTGCTGGCATGGGCAACCTACTGCGCTACCCATCCGTCGTCTACAACAACCATGGTCTGCAGTGGTACATTCCATACCTGATGTGTGTCTTCTTGATCGCCATCCCCGTTCTGGTTCTCGAGATAGCCATCGGCAACGCCTACAGAGGCGGCTCTGTCGTCGCTTACAACAGCATCAACCACCGGCTCAAGGGAACAGGCCTTGCCATGCTGTACATTGGTTTCGTTGTTGGGCCGTACTTTGTTGTCAACTTGGCCTGGATCATGACATACTTTCGCTACTCTTTCCACAGCCCTTTGCCGTGGAAGGACGATTCGACGGCATTCTACGAAAAGGTTGTGGGACTCAACCCTGTACCTAAGCCAGGAGAGTTCACGGACGGGAACGCAGAAATCGTCTCCTGGGTCCAATACAGGGGTATAACTGTCATTGGCGAGACTGTCGGCTGGACCATCTTCACCTGGTTCCTCGTTTGGGTCTCCATCTTCCGTGGTGCGGGCCTGACGGGTCGCGTTGTCTACTTCACCATGGGTCTGCCCATTGTGGTCACCATCATTCTCATCGGCCGCTGCTGCTCTCTGCCCAATGCTGGTGAAGGTGTCAAGCTCTATTTCGCGACGTGGCGCAGTGGCCCACTCGCTGATGGCCGTCTCTGGCAGACAGCCTGCGGTCAGGTGTTCTTCTCGACTGGTGTCGGTTTCGGCTACTTCACGTCTTACGCCTCGTACAACCAGAAGCACTCCAACGCTGTGGTTGATTCTATACTCGTCGTGTCCAGCAATGTGCTGTTTGAGAATATTGCCGCCTTCGCCGTCTTCGGTGTCGTTGGTTTCCTGGGCATGTACCCTGACCCCGAGAACCCCGTCGGTGGCTTCTCCATTGGGTTCTTGACACTCCCTGCCGCCATCGTCGAGATGCCTGCGCCCAACCTGTGGGCTGTGCTGTTGTTCTTCACCCTCATGGTCCTCGGCTACTCTTCCGCGTTTGCCATGCTTGACGCTGTTGTCACCCTCATCATGGATGCTCAGCCCAAGTGGAACCGCACATTGGTCGTCACCGGCGCCGTCTTGATCTCTTTTGCGCTATCAATCCCCTACTGCACCCAGTTCGGGTACTACCTGCTCAGCGGCATTGATCGCTGGACTAGTGATGTTGCCCTGGTATTTGTGGTGTGGGCCGAATGCGTTTGCTCCATGGTCGTGTACCGCTGGCGGGACGTTGTGGAGCAGGTCGGCATGCCCTCTTTCGCTCTTTACAACTTTGGCTACTTCGGTGGTCAGATCATCGGCATCACCATTGCGCACACTGTCGGTGCCCCATGGGGTGCAGTCGCCGGCTTTGTCATTTTCATTTTCGGCACCGTCAGCTCTGTGAGTATTGGCAAGAAGCCCGATTCTAGCCCTCCCGGTTTCTGGGGAAAGAACGTGTTCTTGGAGCGTTTCTGGTATAATGCCTTCTACTCGGTAAGAAACCCTCGCTTGTATTGCAATGCCGCATCGCTCACAAGAATCTCAGGGTAACCAACTTCGTCGCGACCTCAACGTTATCGTCGGGCAGGGCAAGAATTGGAGCATTCCGGTCGTATGGTCCGGCATTTTGCGATACATTGCGGCGCCCGCTCTCGCCATCGTTTTCGGGTTCTCGTACCCCAACTTTTACAAGCTTCGCAATGACCCATTGCATGTTATGGGCTTTGGCGTCGGTCACATTGCCCTCCTCCTCATCTTCTGTGGCTTCATCATGCCCAAGTGGTTTGATGTCTTCATCCCTCCCTCGCGCCGCGGAGAGGGCAATGTGCTCTACGGCGCAAACGTCGCTGCCGACCCTAAGCAGATGGAGAAAAATGCCGAGCTCGAGATGGCCCGTAAGCACGGCCAAGAAGATCTGCTTGCCCGAGGTCACGGCTCTCATGTGCATGCTCACAATGACATGCTGAGCTCGAGCTCATCCAACGAAAGGGCTGACCAGAAGGTTGCGACTGATTTTTCAAGGGAACAGAGTGCTCTGTGATAAAAAATTTTATGGATACCTGGTTTTTTTTTTTTTTTTTTCTTTCTATGCGTCCGCGTCTTCAGGATGCTGGGTTTGCACCTTTTTACCTTTCGCAACAGGACTCGAGTGTCAAAGAGCCGAAGCAATGAAGGAGAAAGAACTCGTTCGGGCTCCGAAAGAATTGCAGGACTTTGTGGATCACACAGGGGACAACCGTGCTTCACTCTTGTGACACGCCGGACACCGGATTGTTTATATACAATGTTGGCATATCGTGTTCACACATAGACTTTTCTATGCTATCGGCACACTAACAGAAACGAAGCACACCAATCCCAGCACCAACTAACAACGCGGAGAATGAAACGAAGCCTCATGTGCAAACTGAGGCAAGGTGAGTCCGAGGTATGTATTATGTCGCGTGATGTCCGCAATATTGCCACTGGCGATTTCGGCTTTGCTTGACCTAGGGACAAGCCACACTTCCTACGGATGTATAGGGGCGTCCGCGCTCCCAACCCTCAAAAGGCGAGATGACTTCAGTATGGTGTGGGCTTGGCCCAGTTGAACGAGCGAGGTCTCTGAATTGTCGGCAGTACTGGGGTCGTAAACAGAGAGATTATTGACTGATAGGTTGGTTTGAATATTAAAGCTCAGCTTCCTGACCATTGACTGCCACGTTGGCGTGAATATTGGGATTGCCCCTTTCCGGCATTGATGCAAGTATTCATTCAGCCTGAGTCACGCCAAGCAAACGAGTTGTCTTTCGAAGCCATCGAGGAGGATGTCTGTGCCAGAAATGGCATCCATCTCTGCTATAAGTCCAGTCCCTATCGCTCCATCGCTACGCTACTCAGTACCACAGGGTTGGGTTCGCGAGATTGTCGATGCCCAGGTTTTTCGCGAGTTATTTGTCGATTTATCCTTTGCTGATTCGACCGAAGTACTTCATCACAAGCTCCGACTGCTAGAGCCGATCTTCGCTTTCCGAAGACTGCATGTGCAAAACAGATTCCATTCCATCGTGCGCGTGGTTGGTTAATGTGGCAAGCGATCGGAGCCCCATCGTATCGTGATCTGTTGGACACTCGGTGTCCTCTGTGTTTGTGTGGTTAACAATCCTATGTTTCGTTTTGTGCGTGGGATAGCTTTCATGTCAGGAACAGATTTTGTAAGGTCTGAGAGTTATGAAACTGTGATATAGCAGAACGTGTGGGAGGCCTCGAAGTAAGCGCAACCCGGCTCGAAGCCTGCCGCAAGCAGGACAGTCCCACCGAGGCTTCGATCGAGCTTGATATGCTAGAAGAAATGCCTGCAAAAGCATGAATGCATTAGGAAGTTATCGTTGAGGCCCCTCTCCCTCTTCGTATAGCTAATGAAAAATCAGCGGTGAAACTGGTACAGACAAGGTTCTTGCCAGGCTCGATATGAGCCTGGCTTCATTGCCCGGACCTGTGCGACAACTAGAGATTGACCGTACAAAAAGACCGGAGCGTACTTATGGATGAGCGCCAGCGAACAAGCCCAAACAGGACCTCACGGATACTATCGTCTGCAAGTAGTATGGCCCTAATGGGGGGTCTCCGACGTGGCGTGTGCAATTGCTACGGTTGCCCTCAATATTTGCGTGATTACATCCAATCAAATATACTAGCATCTAGATCTGTCAAAGTTCCAAGCCTATTGCCGCATTCTCGATACCTGTACACGAGCAACCTCGCTGAGTCGTGGATTAGCGCCCTGAACATATACACTACTGCCCCTACGGACGTCGCCCATATGCCATGGCAGCCTAATACCCTCACCCTCTATAGACTTTTGCAGCATCCTGTGTTTTGGCATCCCACCCAGTCCATCTTTTCATCCGGGCATCCAGGCGCTATGCGACGATGCTCAACTCATGAAGGCAGAGACGTGACAGACTTCGGTCTTCGAGTAAGAACCATGTTCTCGCCACCGGCCAACCAAGACATCACTAATCATCCTCAACTAAATTCGTGATGAGCCCTTCCAATTCATTACTAACTCTTTCGTTTGGTCCAGCTCACGTTGCCAGCAACGCTTCACGTCTTTGAGGTACTCCTCCTTGGAAAGCGCGAAAGGGAAGGATAGAGAATGCATATGAATATCGAGGGCTTGCTGGCTAACCGCACATGCACTGCGGTCGGGGATCGCAGAGAAATAGATTATAGATACCAGAGTCCGACACATGACGTGCAAAAAGATACATTGCACGCCAAATGACGTTTCAGGGGTGCAAAATGAATAAGGTTGCACGTGGCAATGTCCCGAATAGGCAAGTTGCGCCGCCACTATCGCATCTGCGCACCGAACGCCCACAGACATCTACAACAACTTCAAAAGTTCATTGCCAGCCGACCACGCATCGCAACGGAATAATATATAGTTCATTGAATCGACAAAAAGCATAAGAATAGCCCGACGTGGGGGCCGGGCCCACAACCTTGAGATCATGCGGACCGTTGCACGAAAGGATGGAAAATGAAGGGATGAAGCTGAGTTGGAGAGCAATTGCGAATAGAGATGTCCATTCATCTTCAACACTGCTGTTCAGTCAAGACCGTCAATTCGTTTTTTCGTATGCTGCCAATGGGCCCATCTATTTCCCTCTCCAAAGTTTGTGGTATATCGTGTGCCTCCACAACTCAAGCCTTGATGAATGACGCCCCGTCCGTCGTATGAGCCTGGCCGAATTAACCCATTGTGTTCCTGTGGAAGCCCTATGCCCTGAGAATCACACGTATTCTTCACCGACCCTTGTTTCAATCAACTCGCTCGGACTCTGAAAAGGCCCCATCGGCTTCGTCTTCAATGTCTGCAACGGCAGCTGTGCCAGGTCGAACGTCCATCTCCTCCGACTCTCGTGGGTTGGTGTGAGATGGTTCGTCCATTATGGCCTTGATAAAGTCTCCCAACATCTTGGTCATGAATTTTGACTGTCGAATACTGACACAGAGGTCAATAGCCGCCTCCGATGTGATGACTGCTGTAATTTGCTGAAGCGCCTCGTCTAATGCCTCGCCCGTGGGAGCGCTTAGCGCACCGAGTTTCAGATATTCCAGCGACCGAATGGCGTCCCACCCTTTCGGGTTACTCGTACAGGTGTCGGTATATTGATACTGCTTCATGAGGACGTCCCGAGCAAACTGGGCGTGTAGTAATATTAGCGTCTTGAGCACTACAAATTTCGCGTCTCCATGGAATTACGGTCGTGCCATCGATATTAGTTGGAGCGTGTCGCTCTTTGTGATCATGCCACATTATTAGGTGTCGTAGGTAAGGTGTCCAAGGGCAGTCTCGTCTGTGGTCTGGGCGCTTTGCCATCTGTAAGCAAAGCCGAGGACAATTGGCACGTCGCGATTTCGGTAGATGGCTTTGGTCCACATCGCACCACCCTTGGTCCTCACCCCACGCCCAAGTGCCTTCAGAGTATCTCGGGTGACGATGACTTGAAACCCAGGGTCTCCGCCGGGAGGCTTGGAGAACACCTCCTTGTGGTTAACTATTTGCCATTCGTCAAAGGCCCTGGTTATCGCCGGGTCGTCGGTGGTGAGGTCTTGTCGAAAATTGAGAAACATGTGCAGACCGTCGTCCAATGCCATTTTGGCGCCACTCAACTTGACGACATTGGTATGCTCGTTCGCAGACTCTAGTGTCTCGCGGGTTGCCTCAACCAATGCCTCTTCGTAGATAGGATTCTCAGTCACGGCCGATGTGCATATGGCCAACGTGATGGCAACGACCAGTTGAAATTGGTCGGTCATTGAGCGTTTGGTCGCCTTGAAGTGTGAGCTCGGCATTGTCGTTATGTTCTCTGCAGCCCCTCCAAGTTCCGGAAGCGGCGCAGACATTGCCATGGCCTTGGTGAGGATACATTTCCTTGCCGCTCCAATGCTGTTCTTCTTCGTTATCTGCTGCTAGGTCTCTTTCGAGACGATCTGTATTAAGTAATCGCCTTGTTTGTTGAGTTCGACGGCCTTATAAGTAGCCTTTTCTGGTGATGGCCGCCTCAGTTGAGTCTGTGTATGTCGGTGGTTCTCGTCTGTGTACGTCGAATATGCCACCGTCTTATGATTTCTTCATCGTGGAAATGGTCAAAGCGGTGAGGGCATAGATAAGCGGAGTTTGGTGAGGATGTGGAAGAAGCTGGTAGGAGAACAAGGACTTGGTTCGGGGCTATGTCATGCTGAATAAGAACGAATTGGTTGCGTATATACGCTGATTAGCCGCATTCTGAACACATGTGGAATTCCCTTTTGGCCTGTTTGATAGAATTTGACATCACCTTTGGGGCTCAAAACCTGAACAAAGGGGAGCTCAGCTTGAATGACATCCTATTTATTCCCCATCCAGCACGATATTATGGTCACGAAATGCGTCGAGCTGGTTGAGTGCCACCATCTGGCCCGGTTGGTAGGCAGGCTCTGTGCACTACGACCCGGAGCACTTGGCATCACGGCAAAACCTTCGTCGCTGACCAACCTCCCATTCCTGGTCTAGCGAGATACCGAGATTCAGCGAAAAGATATCGAGGGTCATTTCCGTCTGCGCCTTGCTACTCGAACCCTCAAAGCCAACATGAACCTGCCTCGCTCGGATGGCCAGACCGTGACGCTCACCTTCTCCTTGGACATCCCGGAAAAGGCTGCCAGCACTGAACTGTCAGTAGTGCTCGTCATTGCCCTTCGAAGGCAGGTCACTGCTGCTGCTGAACACTGTTGAAGAGCTTATGACGAGTGAGAGCCGTTTTATCACTGGGAAATCCAAGTAACTTGACAGACCGGTCCTCCCCGCTGGTAGTGCACGCGGTCTCGCTACGTCTGAGACAGATCCCCTGACACCTCCTGGCATTGACCGATTATCTGCGTCTCCGGGGGCAAAAGGTGGATTTCACGAAAACCATCACTTTCTACAGCCTTCGGCATGCTGGTGCCAAGAACTGGATTGATCGGTTGGGTCCTGACCAGGCCCGCCTGCTCATGGCGCACAACCCAAACTCGATCATGCGGGAGACCTACTACAATACGAGCTCGGCATGGTACGACATGACCGCCATTGGCACTGATGCCGACACAGTCCATCTAACTTGGCGCCGGGAAAGGAACTTGATGGCCACACAATTGACCAAGGAGCAAATCGAGAGTAATGGCCGGCTATTGAATCACCTCGTCGACCGGCAACGTGATGCGTATCCGAGGTACCACGACCTCACGCCTGGCGCACGCTCACGCGTCGACCTTCAGTCCCGACGGCATGCAGTACGATCACTTGCAGAAGCAGCCCGGAATCGCGCGGCCCTACAAGATGTCCGCGTGACTAATCTAGATGTCGACATGGAGCGTTTGAAGGCAGGCCAAACTCGGTTCATAGGGCGCGTCATGGAGCACATCTCTCATTATCGCCAAGAGAACCAGAACCACCAGGACCCAGACCCTCGACGCTGCCGAAACCATCGTGGAGGTGCCGGATGAGAATCCCAATGCCTCGCCTCGCCGAACGACCACGAATGCAATGTAACCCCACGCCGCCGCGACGACGGCTCCAATGGGCGGACCGATCGACATGGCAATCAATGGTTATCGTTGGTCCTTGCCGTCCCTGTCGTCGACGAGACCGGTCAACGTGGAGGCACGAAGCGTAGTAGTGCTATCAAACAGGCCAAAAGGGAATTCCACTGTGCTCTGAATGTGGCTAATCGGCGTACATACGCAACAAGTACTGTCATACTACGCTGCCAGGCCTGTGTTGATGATGACACCATCCGTGACCCCGAGAAGGAGGAGAAGAAGTAAGATAACACCCCCAGTCCTTGACCACCCCTAGACCTTGACCACCCAAGACACGGACCCCTCTTCCACTTCACATCACATTCTAACCGCGTTTTCTCGCGTGATTTGGTAGCTAGATGCTTTAAATTAAGAACACGATATTATTATGCCCTCATATATAGAAATTGATATCGAAAACGCGCTCAAAGAGGTCCGAAGTGGGATCTCTTAACGAGTTGCTGCTACACGCTATGGGATCCCCCGCATAACCCTTCGATACCGATATGAAGGCGGCGAGAACGTTCAAACCTCTCATGAGCATCAACAACGCCTTTCTACCCTTAAGGAAGCCCACCTCCGCGATTGGGTCTTAACCTAGCAAGCCCTAGGGCTCCCGCTATCGCATACATAACTACGAGACTTTGCCACTCGAATCCTGGCTACTTAAGGCGACATACAACAACTCGGAAAACGCTAGGTTAAAGGCTTTTTACGCCGTAATCCGGAAATCAAGACCGTACGAGGAAGAGGTATGGATTCTGCCCGGATTAATAGAGCAACTACTAAGACTATCTAGTCCTTCTTCCACCTTCTCGACCTCCTAACGATCTAAGCTATCCGACCAGAGAACCGATATAATACCGACGAACACGGGATCCTCGAAGGCTAAGGAAGCAACGGGCTAGTCCTTGGCTCTGCAGCTAGCCAGATAGTCTTTAAAAAGCAGCCTGGATTACGTTATTAGACTATAATGATCGAATGCATCTTAGCGACTGGCCGGGCGCTGCCTCTGGTAGTTATCTTCAAAGGTGAGAGCGTATAAGCCCAATGGTTCAATAAGGAGCTTGGTCTAGAAGACTGGTGCTTCTTAGTATTAACCAAGGGCTAGACCTCTAATAGCCTTGCGCTATATTAGCTTAAAGAGGTCTTTATCCCTCGAACACAGCTATCTTAGCCAGAGGCTAGGCTACTCGTTATTGATAGGCACGGGAGCCACATAACTGATAACTTTATATATATATGTTATTTAAATAATATCTACTTACTCGTCTTACCGCTATATATATCGTATGTCTTATAACCCCTTGACCTAGCTGTCTTTGGCCCCCTGAAGACGATCTATCGGTCTGAGATCTCAAGGATCAGTGTCTTATCAAATATAACGCCTCTCGGTAAGGCAGTCTTCCTCGCTGCGTACAAAAAGGCCCGTAGCAGGGCCCTAACGATTAAGAATATCACAGCTGGCTGGAAAGTAATAGGGCTATGGCCAATTAATCGCAATAAGCCTCTTATGAGTCGGCTACTAGCCCAACCTCTCGATTCAACAGCAACAGCAGCTATAGCGCCACTAGCAGCTTCTACCTATATTCAAAAGGAGCCTAAGGAGCTCTTCCAAACACCTCGTTATTTAGGACAGCTTTCTAGGCTAGCTCGACCCTTCCTTTCCCCTTCAATAGACCGTACGATACGCCGGCTATTATTCCGGAAGATTGGCCGTAGCATTGACGGGCAGAACACTAAGCTAGCCGAGCCCGAGGCCACGATACAATCCCTTGAGCATTAGATTGATAATCTACGGCCTAAAAAAAGAGCTAAAGTCACCTATAGCCCTAATAGCCGGTTCGTACGGATTGAATAGATTGTCGAGACTAAAAAGCGGCTTGCGCAGTAACTTGAGCCGGCCGGGCTTTCCCAATTGACTTAATTAAATGATTTTAATTCCCTATGTCATGAGTGGCAGCTTGACTAGCTAAAAATACCCTAATAATATGTTCGCGATGCTATTGTGTTGAGTTTGACGCCTTCAACGGGCTTGTGTTATGCTGTATTGGGTGGTCAAGGTCTAGGGGTGGTCAAGGACTGGGGGTGTTATCTTACCAAACAGGCCAAAAGGGAAATCCACTGTGTTCTGAACATGGCTAAACGTACTTATGTACGCAACAAGAAGTGGAAAGGCGACGCTCTGAAAAGCTATCTCGAGATATACTCGGAGACTTTGGTCCAGAAGTGGATAGCTGATCTACCTGAAGAGGTTCCCGGCCATTTGGCCCAGGAGCATGAACGCCTCAAGACTGAACTTGGATAGTATGGGCCCAGTTTCAAGGGTGAAGCGCAGAACAAGGAGAACCTGATCAACCTATTCGCCAAACGACAGCAAAGGCAGCTTGATTTCGACGCATCTGCATAGGAGCCGACGAGGAGCACAGATCGCGAGCTCGCCGTCGGAGTACCACTCGCACCTGATTTTAGGCTCAGGGGACCATCTCCCCCTCCCCTAGATTTCAATCTCTTCCCTGAGTTCCGACATGCTAAGAGCGATGAGCAAGTACCAGCTCCTCCCGACGTCTTGCGTTCTGAAACAGTTACTGCCGACGAATTCGCGGCCGAGACAAGCCGACTCCTGGACAGACGAATGGAAGAAGAAGCTACTGCTACTGAAGATTAGGGCTGGTCAGACAAGACTTAGGACAGGAGTGATAAAAACGCTTGAGGACTTCGAGAGAAGGAACTCGAGAAGAAGTATTGAACGACAAGGACATGATGTATGTTGTTTGCGTTGCTTACATGTAGTCAGGCCATACATCCGGCCCACACACACCACTGCCAAGAAGCAGCATCTCCTTCACATAGAGAATAATCAACTTCATCTTCTTCTCTTTGTATGATCTTCTTAATATATACGGTTGCTAATTTGTTATTGTACTGTATGCCTAATATTCGATAAAGATAGGACGTAATAGTTGAATATCCTAGATATAGTTTTTAATCGCAGGTGTTACTTAATACATGCGTACCGTGTGCCTAAGATCCGACAGAGATAGTACTTAATTCCTGAACATCCTAAGTAGCTATAGTATTCCAGAAGTGTTAATCAATACTCGTGTACTGCGTGTCTAATATTCGATCACGTATATCAATCAAGACAATCAGGTACTCACGTGAATAAACGGTAACTACTGAGGATCAATACTCTATCAACCCTTAACTCTAATTGAGATCGGGCTTGTTAGTAATCTATCACAGTCAAGGCGACAGTGAAGATTGCTCGATCACTACTCACTTGCGCGCGCGTCTCAATGTTCATTGGGGTATGTACGCTAGCGTTGTCTTATCCAAAAAGTGAAGCCATAAACAAGAAGAAAAAAAAACAGGCTTGAAGAGCGCAAACTGAAAAGAAAAAGGGGGTATATCACGTAAAACAAATAGTCCGTCCGCAAATCATCCACTCCAAAGCTGTACGGAGCCTAGTATGCTTGACCAACACCGGCTTGTGATGGTCTATACGACACATCAGACTCCAAATGCTGTCCATCTTGCTGCCTAACTTGGCCAAAGTGCCATTGCCCGCGCTGCGTCGGGGCTCGGGGGTTCGGGTCGACATTATCATAATAATAGTCCGCATTCCCAGTCCACGCCATGGATCGGACTTGGTCAGTACGCTGCTCTTGCGCGCCAGGGGCAACATCGCGCCGGAGGGGCCCAGGACTCTGCTCTTCCGAAGCGGTCTGGTCCACATCCTTGTGGCCGGGGAAGGGCTCGCCGGCCACTTCGTCCAGCTCAACATCGGCGCCACCCTTCTCAGCATCCTTGACGCCCTTGCTCTTTTTCTTGCGGGCGTCTTTCTCGACGCGCTGCATGAGATCTTGATCGTTGGGGAAATAAACCCTCCGAATGCTTTGCACGGCAAGGTCGACGACGATCAGTGCAGCCAGCTCAAGCAGGATAATGGTCCACCAGGCCAGTGTTGGGCCAAAGTTGTGAAGGAAGCCGTCTTTGACGACGTATATGCCAACAGCGCCCTCGTACATCTCCGAGATGATGATCATCCACAAGAACCACCCAGCGACCGAGATGGCGAATCCGCCAAAGATGATGATGGTCTTATAGTGGCACTCGAGAATACTGCAAATAGAATTAACATGGGTCTCGCGAGAGCCAGCAAGAGAACTCACAATAACCTGATGTTGATGAAAACGACGGCTACCGTGAAGCAGATACACCCCATGGCGAATATGCTGTTGTCGGAGGTGAACAGGGTGTAATGATAGAACCACCAGGTGGGATAAAAGATGATGACGCTTCCGATGACACCCAAGACCACCCAGCCAAAGTACTGTAAATAGTTGATCCCCATGCTCTTCTGGCCAAAAGTGTATAGCTCAGGCACAGCGAGGAGTGTATCGGCGTCGAGGTCCTTGTCGAAGATACCGGGCAAGATGACAGCCAGTGACGTGAAGAGAACGTTGAATACGGTCAAACTCCAGTTCTCGTAGAGCGACGTACCCGAATAGCCGGTGCTGCGCTGGTAGTGCGCTTGAACGAGGTAGAATAGAATTTCCTTCCAGAAAGTGGCGAGGACATACCTGCCGGTGCGTAAATAGTTCCAGCGGCCATGGACGAAGAGTAACTTCTGCAGGAAACGAAATTGAGCAATGGAAAAGTCGGAGATGCGAGCAGCTTGTAGACCTTCTCGGCCAGAGATGCCAATGCCCACGTGCGAGGCTAGGATCATGCCAATATCGTTGGCACCGTCGCCAATCGCAAGGG